CTCCAGTACAACAACCATCTAACTTCTGCTGTCTTCTTGCTCCCAAATAAATTTAATCTGATGGTGTCCACTAATGTCCTCTATATAACTCACCAAAAACAAAGTTGTCTGGTCTGAAGATCTGGCCAAAAGGACCCGAGCGAACAGAGTCCATGGTCCCAGGTTCGAGATCCACCAGGATAGCACGAGGAACATACTTGCCACCTACACGGAATCAAGTAGAGGTGTGAGACCTGACAGAGGGGAAGGTAAATATATCGGGGTTGGGGGAAAGCTGGGGGCCCACGCTTGGCATTCCGGGCCCTACCACGTGGTAGAAGAGTTAGTCTTGGCCCCAATGGTGGGTCACCAAGGAGAAAGGGTGACACATTCATCCAAAAGGGATAAAGGGTCCCCAAGGATGGAAAGAGAACCCGGAGAAATGAGAGAGAAAACTTGCCGGGCTCCCGTCCTCACCTGTGGCTTCGTTGTAGTACACGGAGATGCGGTCCAGCTGCAGGTCGCTGTCCCCGTGGTAGGTACCGGTGGGGTCGATGCCGTGCTCATCACTGATCACCTCCCAGAACTGCCGGAGAAGAGCAATGAGCCCTCCACAGCTCGAGTCCCCGCCGACTAGGCCCGCCGCCCACTGCATTCCAGCGCGAGCTGGGAGGACCGGCGCCCGCCGGCCACAGCCCTGCGCAGGCACGCGCCCCGCGGGAGGGCCGCAGCGCGCCCCCGCCACAGCCCTGCGCAGGCACGCGCCCCGCGGCAGGGCCGCAGCGCGCCGCCGGCCGCGGACTGTGCAGGCGCGCAGCCACGAAGGGCTGGCGCTCGCAGGGCCGCGAGGGCGGAGGGAGGGCGACCCGCCGGGACAGGCGCCCCTCCCCGCCACCGCCCACACGAGGGCGGGGCCGGCGCGCACGCGCGCGAGGCGGGGCCGGCGCGCCCCCGCGGCCCGCACTGTCGCCGCGCGCCCGGCCCCGCCCGCAGGGCCCGCCCTTCTGCTACCACGTCGCCGCGCGCTTCCTCCCGCCCCTCCCCCGCTACCCTGTAACCGCGCGCAAAAAATCCCCCTGGGCCCCAGAATTTTATTCCTTCGCCAGATCTTTTTCTTCTCCAAAATTCTTTCTCCCCCTATTTGTTTAATCTGGAGACTCATTAAAGAATGCACGCCCTTTCTCTCTCTCCAAATCCGTCCACGCCCTAAGACCTCTCCTAGGAGCAAAGAAAGGGAGCAAGATTAATACAGCCCGCACTCCCTTCCAGGGAAAGCGGCAGGCCGCCCGCCCGGCCGCGCCCCTCGGGCGAGCCCGCGAGGGTGTGCGCGACGCAACCGGGCAACTCGCGGCTCGCTTTGTCTCGGGCCGTTTCCGCATGTCCCCGCCCGGTTCTCGGACCGTTAGAAAATTCCCTTTTAGTAAATCTTACAGATGCTCGTCTTTCCGCCCCCGAAGGATGCTTTTAATAGTTCCTCCAAAATGTGCTGCCAAGAAGAATACCCATTTCCAAAAGCAAATGCTAGTTACAATGGTGTATTTATTTCTGTATTAAAGAAAAACTTGGGAGGGGACAAAGCTTGATTAAGGAGTAAGAGTGCAGATGCCCCACAACCATTTATCATAATTTATCTGGACTTTTCCTCCCAGAAAGAAATACTACTAAAAGAAGAGGGTAAAAATTCTTACCTTGGCACCGATCTGGTTGCCACACTGCCCGGCCTGGATGTGCACGATTTCCCTCATGGTTAAAATTTATTTTAATTTTTTTTTGCTGGCCTCAAAGTATGTACGGAGCAAAAAAATATATATGTAGTTTTTTTCTTCTCTGCTGATGGCAGGCTGAAAGGAAGGGACGCGCCCCGGAGGCTGGAGCAGCGAGGTCCGCGCGCGGCGGCAGGAAGGCTCTGAGAGGGAGAAAGGAGCGGGAGGCGCGGGAGGAAGGCGGGCGGGCGGGCGGGGCGCGCGTGCGCGGGACCGGGAGGCGGGAGGACCGCCCCGCGCGGTCTGCAGACAAAGCCGCGTCGAGCCTGCCCCTGATTAGTCGGTGTCGCGCTGCTACCAGGCGTCCATTGGTCCCCGCGCCAGGGACGGGCGCAGTCCTCTTTGGGAGCTGTAGTCCTCCATTGTTGTCCACGCTGCAAAATGAAGGGACAGATGGGTGGGTCCTGGGCTTGTATTTGGTGGGTTTGTCTTTTAAATGAAAAAATGACCTTGCGCAAAATTCCTTTCCAACATGCCTGAGTTTTTGGTGGAAAAGGAGAGCAGTTTTCGGGGATGCAGGAAGGAATTGGGAACTCTGGGGTTCCAAAAGTTGGGTGGCGGGGTAGGCACGCCCTGAAAGCTCCCGACTGCGGTAGCTCTCGGAAAGACAAGACTGCTTAGCTCAGCGAAAACCGGGGAGAAGTGTGGCACCCTGCTCTGCTACCTAAAGTCTGGCCCTTGGTGACCCCGAGGCATGAATTTTAGTAGGCCGCTGCTCCCCCACATGCCTCAGTAAGGAGGGAATTGCCCTTCTACTATTTCCCTGGGAATTTTCGAGTGATGTTTCGAAAGAGAAACAAAATTGTAGCAAGGACCTTTCAGGATAGAGATGTTATCTGAAGGGTATGTTAGAAGATAATTGAGTAGAGAAACTGGTATCTGGGATTTGAGAAGCCAGAAGTCTCCATTCAAGTTGGGTATCTGGGTCTTAGGGCAGCGTTTGTGGACACCGTGGTCTTGTCAAACTAGGAACTAGGGGATGAAACGCCAGTCTTTCCAATCTGCCACTCTAGACACTTTGATGAAGTCAGTGGTTTTTTCTTTTTCTTTTTCTTTTCTTTTTTTTTTTTTTTTTTTGGACAGAGTCTCGCTTTGTTGCCAGGCTAGAGTGAGTGCCGTGGCGTCAGCCTAGCTCACAGCAACCTCAAACTCCTGGCTCAAGTGATCCTCCTGCCTAGCCCTCCACAGTAGCTGGGACTACAGGCATGCGCACCATGCCTGGCTAATTTTTTCTATATATATTAGTTGGCCAATTAATTTCTTTCTATTTATGGTAGAGACGGGTCTCGCTCTTGCTCAGGCTGGTTTGGCCTCCGCCAAACTGGGAGCAATCCGCCTGCCTTGGCCTCCCAGAGTGCTAGGATTACAAGCATGAGCCGCCGCGCCCCGTCCCGGTGGTTTTTCAATTCACTTAGCCCCAGGATTGAAAAAAGGAGAGAGGGGTAATTGACGAAAGAAAATTGGATGGGCTCCAGTAAGAGTCCACCTGCTTCTTCCTAGGGCTTCATTCATTCGCTCATTTGGTAGATACTAAGTATTCACCAAACTAGGAACAAAGGATACAAAAATGATTAAGAATTAGCTCCTCTCTGGGAGGCGGAGGCAGGCAAATTGCTCGAGGTCAGGAGTTTGAAACTAGCCTCAGCGAGATCCGTCTCTACTAAAAACAGAAAGAAATTAATTGACCAACTAAAAATATATGTACAAAAAAATTAGCCGGGCATGGTGGCGCATGCCTGTAGTCCCAGCTACTTGGGAGGCTGAGGCAGGAGGATTGCTTGAGCCCAGGAGATTGAGGTTGCTGTGAGCTAGGCTAAAGACACAGCACTCACTCTAGCCTGGGCAACAAAGTGAGACTCTGTCTCAAAAAAAAAAAAAAAAAAAAATTAGCTTCCTATCATCTAGGATGTTGCCATTTAGTGAGAAGTGTATGATAAAGTGTGCCTAGCACTATAATAGAGATGATGTAATATCAAATTATCAAATTAAGGTCATTGTTAATTTACATTCAGTCAATACACAGATCAACATATTTTTTTTTCCATCATATTGTGGGGGCACAAATGTTAAGGTTACGTATATTGCCCTTGCACCACCCCCCTCGAGTCAGAGCTTCAAGCGTGTCCATCCAGACCAGCCTGAGCAAGAGCGAGAACCATCTCTACTATAAATAGAAAGAAATTAATTGGCCAACTAACATATATAGGAAAAAATTAGCCGGGCATGGTGGCGCATGCCTGTAGTCCCAGCTACTGGGAAGGCTGAGGCAGGAGGATTGCTTGAGCCCAGGAGTTTGAGGTTGCTGTGAGCTAGGCTGACGCCACGGGCACTCACTCTAGCCTGGGCAACAAAGCGAGACTCTGTCTCAAAAAAAAAAAAAAAAACTTCGAGGAGTTTCGAATCCCTTGTTTGTAAAATCTACTTCTATTTGATTGTTGTAGACAGCATTGAGATAACAAGTGGAACGGGCTTCGTAAGTTACACAAATGTCACATTGTTACAATTTCCTTAGTATCTTACAGTGAAATAAATGATTTTATCTTTTCTTCGCCCCTTAAAAGTTGAGGACAGCATTTAAGATAGCAAAACAGTTTTCTCTGTTCGCCTGCAGATCTTTGCTTTAGGATCTTGCATTTAGGAAAATGACCTCAAAATGTCCGTCAGGGATGTATTCCCAGAAAGAAATGACATGACTTCTACTAAACAAGCCAAATCAAAAGAAAATGAAATTCCATTGCAATAAGAATTCCTCAAGCGCCTCCAGCCACAACTGCAACTCGCAGCCCAATCTCATTTCTCCTGAGTCAGCGGACACCATGTCTGGGAGGACCGAGGAAGGGCCCTCTGGCCGCACACAGCAGACGTCGTCTATGGTACAGCGCCTCTATCCGCTGCCAGCAGCTGACGCTAGATTCTCTGGCCGCGGTTTGGAAATCTGCGCGGGAAGCGGGTGGTGGGCAGGGAAGCGATAGTGGGTCGTCCCTTGGAACTGCCCAATCGAAGTGCACTATTCCGTGCGCGCACGGCGGCCTCCAATTATCGTCCCACTTAACTGATTTCAGTCTCCTCCCTTTTGACGCAAAGGGGGCGGGAGGGGCGGGGCTTTGGGTGAGCCTAGCCCTGCGGGTTTCATCAATCAGCCCGCAGCAGGAGTGTGAAAGACAGCGGCAACAGCCAATCAGAGCATCGGCTCGCTTCTGGCTTGCTCACTCGCGCCACCCTGGTCGCAGCCGTTACTGCTGGCGCGCGCGGGGACTCAAAGTAGGTGAGTTCTGGGGGCCTCGCCCACGGCTCCCCGGGTGCCATCTTGATTCCCCCAGAGGGCGGGAGGGGCTTGCTTGGGTGCGACTGGGCGGAGGTGACTTGGAAGTTTGCTTCTCGGATTGTAATACTAGTCCTTACCTGGCGTCCCGCCCTGAGTTTAGGTACGAAGACAGTGGAGACATTGAACCACGGGGGAACCCACTGGTGTGGGGATCAAAGATGGTGGCCCTTTGAATTGCAGCCGAGGGTCGTGGGCACCCTCTGAGTTGGCCAGTCATAAGGAAGGAGTGGACACTTTCTCCATGAGGCATCTTACTTTCCTCTACCTGTCAACATCTTTAGCGTGGCATCTTTTTTTTTTTTTTTTTTTTTTTGATACAAGAGTCTCACTCTGTCACCGGGGTTAGAGTGCCATGGCACCAGCCTAGCTCACAGCAACCTCAAACTCCTGGGCTCAAGCAATCCTGCTGCCTCAGACTCCCGAGTAGCTGGGACTGCAGGCATGCGCCACCATGCCTGCCTAATTTTTTCTATATATATTAGTTGGCCAATTAATTTCTTTCTATTTATAGTAGAGTCGGGTCTCGCTCTTGCTCAAGCTGATTTCCAACTCCTGACCTTGAGCGACCACGCCCAGCCTAGGGTGGGGTCTTTCTAGGAGAATTCCACTCAGGCTCTTTTGAATTTCCATATCCTCTCATTTCTTTTCTTTTCTTTTCTTTCTTTTCTTTCTCTCTTTCTCCCTCTCTCTCTCTCTTTTCTTTCTTTCCTTTCTTTCTTTTTTTTTTTTTCATCTCACTTTGTTGCCCAGGCTAGAGTGAGTGCCATGGCGTCAGCCTAGCTCACAGCAACCTCAATCTCCGGGGCTCAGCGATCCTACTGCCTCAGCCTCCCGAGTAGCTGGGACTACAGGCATGCGCCACCATGCCCGGCTAACTTTTTTTTTTTTTTTTGTATATATATTTTTAGTTGGTCAATTAATTTATTTCTATTTTTGGTAGAGACGGGGTCTCGCTCAGGCTGGTTTCAAACTCCTGACCTTGAGCAATCCGCCCGCCTCGGCCTCCCAAAGTGCTAGGATTACAGGCGTGAGCCACCACGCCTGGCCTCTTTCCTTTCTTTCTTTTCTTTCTTTTTTTGAGACAGAGTCTCACTTTGTTGCCCAGGCTAGAGTGAGTGCCATGGCGTCAGCCTAGCTTACAGCAACCTCAAACTCCTGGGCCCAAGGGATCCTTCTGCCTCAGCCTCCAGAGTAGCTGGGACTACAGGCATGCACCACCGTGCGCCACTAATTTTTTCTGTATATATTAATTGGCCAATTAATTTCTTTCTATTTTTTAGACAGGGTCTCTCTCTTGCTCAGGCTGGTTTTGAATTGCTGACCTTGAGCAGTCTGCCCGCCTTGGCCTCCCAGAGTGCTAGGATTACAGGCGTGAGCCACCACGCCAGGCCCCATTTCTTTCATCAGTAGGCTCAGTGATGTAGCCTCCATGAAGGCAGGGTTCCTTTTATGCTTGGTTCACAGATGTATCCCAAATACTGCAAACAGTATCAGGTATGCCATCACCACCGTTGAATGAATATGATGGACCCTAGAGAAAAAGATACAGTTTCACTAATCCAGTCCTAGAGATGAGGTGGGAAGGCAGCAATGGAAAGTAATTGTTACAATATGGTGAGAAGTGTTAGAATAGGCACACTCCATTGACCACTGTGGATCACCAAAAAGTGATCCAGGAAAGACTTTGCTGAGAAAGTGACATTTGAACTGACTCTTAAAAGATGGGTAGGAGTTGGACCAGAAAACTAAGACTGAAGGGCCATGGAACGGGCCTGAGGCATGAAGATGTGGGGGACAACAAGGGCAGTATGTTCAGAGATTGGAGAGAAGGGCTGTGGCTGAAGCATAAGCAGAAGGGTGTGCATTACAAGACAGGAGGTAGAGATCATGGACGGTCTTGCTAAGGAGTTTAGATTTTATTTTATCCTGTGGGCCAGGAAAGGCATCAGAAAATATCTGGGTGACTGTGGGCAAATTCCTTAACCCAGCAATGTTGCAATTTCTTTGTCTGAAAAAATAGAATATAATACCTACTTTTTTTTCTTTTATATATTTTTTATATATTTATATATTTTAAAGGCTGGTCAAGTGAAAATACCTACTTTACAGCATTGTTGTGAAGATTAAATGAATTAGTCAACATAAAGTAATTAGGACAGTGCTTGACACAGATGAAGCATCTATATATGTCAGCTGTTGTGACTCTTTACAGTTTGGCTTAATCATACTAAGGTGGTCTGGTAAAGTGTAAAAAGCCTGGGCTTTGCAGCTAGAAGCACCTTTAATCCCATCTATTTACCTGCTGTTATCCTGAGCAAATTATGTAACATTTTTATCATTAGTTTCCTAAATGCCTGCCTCATATGGCCACTATGCCTGACACATAACACAATGCCTGACACATACTTGGCATGTGTTAGCAAAATGGTGTTTTTCAAATTGTAGGTTGCAACCCAGTAGTGGACAGTGAAAATTTAGTGGGTTGCAAATCAGTTTTTAAAAATATGGAGATAATAGAAAAAAATAGAATGAAAAATATCAGTGTATTTATTGTACATAGTAAGGCTAAGCATTGTTTCTCAAAACTTCTGTTTATATAAACAAGCATGTGTTTATACCTATTTATGTACTTGGGACCTTATAATATTTCTTACTCTGTGTCATGGATATGTTTTAAATGCTTTGAAAGGATAACACCAGAATGATTGGTAGAAAGAGAAGCATCAACCTTCATAGCAATCCAGGTTACCCGCAGTTATCAGTCTGATCAGTCTGATGCATGATGCAGTTGGTGTGAACCAATGATGGGGACGATGATAATGTGTTTCCTTCCCAGATTATGGAGGATACACAGGCTCTTAACTGGGACATTGAAGAAGACGAGGAGACAGAAAACTCCAGTGAATCCTTGGGGTGCAGCTTGGAGCCTGTAGGGCGGCTCCATATCTTCAGCGGTGCCCATGGACCAGAAAAAGGTTAGGGGATACTGGATGCTGAAGTATTGAGCTAGGTCTTTTATTTTTGTGGGGAGGTAGTTGGAGGGTTGCAAGGAGATCTGAAAAAAAGTTTTTTTAATTAGGAATGGAAAAGAAGGGACTAATTGAGTTGATTGTTCCAGGATAGTGCCCTGGACCTACTGGGAATGATTTTACTTTGATAGAAGATTAAGAGATTCAAATAAAAATCCAGTGTGGTCTGCAGATGGATGGTGGTGATGATTGCACAACAATGTGAATGTACTTAATGCCACTGAACTATACACTTAAAATTATTAAAATGGTAAATTTTGTGTTATGTATATTTTATCACAATTTAAAAATCCAGTGTGGATGGATGGGGTATTGCATATGAATAATACATTGCGTATACTTTTCATTGCCTAGATATCCTAGGGCCTTTTATTTTTCTAATGCATGTGCGGCCTTGAGTGAATAGTGGGTACCTAATAGGACCATTTTCCTAATGACAGGCAAGGACTCTGACCTTAGAATCTATCTACCTCTCTAATTTTTAGATTTTCCACTATACATCGGTAAGAATATGATAGGCCGAATGCCTGACTGTTCTGTGGCCCTGCCCTTTCCATCCATCTCCAAACAACATGCAGTGATTGAAATCTTGGCCTGGGACAAGGCACCTATCCTCCGAGATTGTGGGAGCCTCAATGGTACTCAAATCCTAAGGCCTCCTAAGGTTCTGAGCCCTGAGGTGAGTTATCGTCTGAGGGACCAGGAATTGATTCTCTTTGCTGACTTGCCCTGCCAGTACCATCGCTTGGATGTGCCCCTGCCCTTTGTCTCTCGGGGTCCTCTAACTGTAGAGGAGACACCCAGGGTACAGGGAGGAACTCAACCCCAGAGGCTTCTGTTGGCTGAGGACTTGGAGGAGGAAGTAGATTCTCTTTCTGAAAGATGTGTGATGAAAGAATCAAGGACCACGTCCTCCCCTTTGTCAACAGTAGTTCCAGAGAGGTAAGTGCCAAAGGGCCAGACACCTGAGTCTTCAAAAGGAGGAAGAAACAGGGGCTGGAGGATCAATCTCTAAGAGAGATAATTATCATGAAAGTTGGGGCTGGGGTATACATATTCATTCACTCATTCGTTAGCTGGAGAACTAATTACTGGAAACAGAAAACAAATAATTACCTTGTATCTGCCTTCAAGGAGCTTACAACTGAGTGGGGTATCCCTTTCTTGGAAATAGATTCTACAGTCTTTCTCTTTCTCTCTCTCTCTCTCTCTCTCTCTCTCTCTCTCTCTCTCTCTCTCTCTCTCTCTCTGTCTTCCCTTTGCAGTGATGAAGAGGGGCTTTCCCATGCCCTGGGTGACCCTGGGCCACATTGTACCTTCAACTTGGACAGTGACACAGATGAGGAGGAAGGTCAGCAATCAGCAACAGGGGAGGCCTCCTCCCCTGCCAGAAGACATGCCACTGCAGAGGCACAGCAGCCTGCAGCTGATGGAGTTGCAACCAAAGTCCAGTGTGAAAAGCATCAGCCTTCAGTGAAAGAGAGGGACAATGACACAAAAATCAAGAGAGATGCAGGAAATGGGGTGGTTCCAGTTAGGATGATTCTGGAGAGGAGCCAGCCTCCTGGGGAGGACAGTGACACAGATGGGGATGATGAGAGCAGGCCTCCTAGAAGGCCAGCTGAGGTCCATTTGGAAAGGGCCCTGGCTTGTGACATTATTGATAGTGACACTGATATGGAAGAAGAAGGAATCCCAGCAACCCCAGCTGTAGTTCCTATGAAGAGGAGGCAAATACTCCATGGAGTTGGTACAAGGGGTCCTGGAGCACCTGGCTTGGCATATCTGCGGGAGAGCCAGGCTGGCAGTGATACAGATGTGGAGGAGAGTGAGGCCCCACAGGCCATCCCTCTGAAGAAAAGCCAGGCTTCCATGGAGATCAACAGCGATACAGATGATGAGGAAGAAGTCTCAGCAGCACTTACTTTGGCACGTCTGAAAGAGAGCCGGGCTGTTGTATGGAACAGAGACACGGATGTGGAAGAGGACAGGGCCCAACCTGTGGTCCTTCTGGAGCAAAGCCAAACCACCAGTGGGAGAGACAGTGACACAGATATGGAAGAGGAAGGGCCCCCAGTGGAAAAAAGAGAAACCGTCCCTGAGAGTCACACAGACAAAGATGGAGCCATTGTTATAGCACATTCAGAAGAGAAGCAACCTGCTCCTGGGGACAGTGATATAGGGGTAGAAGCAGATAAGAGTTCACCTGGGATCCACCTGCAGAGAAGCCAAGCCTCCAGCACAGTGGACATCAACACAGAAGGGGAGGAGGATGTCCCACCAGGGCCAGCTATTGTACATCTGGAGAAGCATCAGGTGTCTGTGGAGGGGAGATATCAAACAGATGTGGAAGCAGAGAGGGGGCCAGCAAAGCTGCCTGTAGTGCCTCTAGAGGAAGGCCAGCCTCCTCTGGATGGGGACTATGAGACAGATATAGAGGAGGGCATGTCCTTAGCAGCCTCAGCAGTGACAGATGTAAGAAAGAGCCAGCTTTCAGCAGAAGGGGATGCTGGGACAGAGCAGGCTGCAGCTGTTCTTGAGAGGGAGAGAGCTCTTGAGGTGGGGACCCAGGGTGGATCACCTGTGGCACAAGTGGAGCAGGACCTTCTCCCTATCTCAAGGGAGAATCTCACAGATCGTGTGTCGGACCAGGCACTCCAGAGGACCTCCAGCCACAGAGAGAGGGAGCCCAGACCCCCACAGGGAGAGAGAGAGAACCACATGTAAACATGACCAAGGACTCTGAAGATAACCAAGATGGTAAGTGCTGGCCTTTCTTCCTCCCATGATCCCTTAAATAAACCATGGAAGTTCCAAGGTTGGTGTTAGAGAGAAAAGAGTAGACATTAAGTAAGGAGTTAAGGGACAGATATGATTTCTTTTATTATCTATCCTATATTCCTCCCCTACCAGATTCTGAAGATCTGGCCCTACAAGCTACCCAGTGCTTTGTGGGAGAGAGAGAAGAGAGCCTGGAAGGTGAGGACACCTGTATGTTTGAATCCTGGTACCAGTGGGACGTGGAGATTAGACTAGTGGTCCTTGAAGGGTATGAAGGCTGGCATGGATAGGGTAGGAGACCAGAAATGGATCCCGGGGTTCTATGGGGGGGCTGTGCCTAAGCTGTCTTTTTCTTGTGCAGCAGTCCAGAGCATGGAGGAGGAACCACCCAGGCCTTCCTGATTACTCTCCCCCAGAACCTGGCCTTCCACTTGCAGCTTCCAGGCCCCGGTACAACAATCTGTCCCTTCCTCTTGTGCTCACACTTTGCATCCTTTATTGTTTTTCCCTCTACATATTTCTGTTTATTCCTTAACTACAGTTGCCCTCTGTACCTGTATGTTCCTCATCTAGGGATTCAACCAACTGTGAATTGAAAATATTGTGGAAAAAATAATTAAAAATTTTAAAAATGCAATATACAACTATTACACAGAATTTTCATCATAGCAGGTACTATAGTAGGCAGGCTAGAGGTGATTTAAAGCTGCAGTCCAGGCCGGCTGGTGGCTCGCGCCTGTAATCCCAGCACTCTGGGAGGCTGAGGCGGGCGGATTGCTCCAGGTCAGGAGTTCAAAACCAGCCTGAGCAAGAGCAAGACCCCGTCTCTACTATAAATAGAAAGAAATTAATTGGCCAACTAATATATATAGAAAAAATTAGCTGGGCATGGTGGCACATGCCTGTAGTCCCAGCTACTCGGGAGGCTGAGGCAGGAGGATTGCTTGAGCCCAGGAGTTTGAGGTTACTGTGAGCTATGCTGATGCCACGGCACTCACTCTAGCCTGAACAACAAAGTGAGACTCTGCCTCAAAAAATAAAAATAAAAGAAATAAGCTGCATCCCAACCCCTGGTCTCCCCATTGTTGGCTCGCATCACCACCTGAGATCCACACACCACTCCCATCTGTGGAAAAGTTGTCTTCTATGGAACTGGTCCCTAGTGCCAAAAAGCCTGGGGACTGCTGATTGAAAGTATATGGGAGGCGGGGCACAGTGGCTCGCCTGTAATCATAGCTCTCTGGGAGGCTAAGGCAGGAGAATCGCTCAGGTCAGGAATTTGAAACCAGCCTGAGCAAGAGCGAGACCCTGTCTCTACTAAAAATAGAAATAAATTAATTGGCCAATTAAAAATATATTAAATAATTAGCTGGGCATGGTGGTGCATGCCTATAGTCCCAGCTACCTGAGAGGCTAAGGCAGGAGGATCACCTGAGCCCAGGAGTTTGAGGTTGCTGTGAGCTAAGCTGACACCATGGCACTCTAGCCCGGGCAACAGAGGGAGGCTGTGTTTCAAAAAAAAAGAAAAGGCCAGGCGCAGTGGCTCACGCCTGTAATCCTAGCACTCTGGGAGGCTGAGGTGGGTGGATTGCTCAAGGTCAGGAGTTGGAAACCAGCCTGAGCAAGAGCGAGACCCCGTCTCTACTATAAATAGAAAGAAATTAATTGGTCAACTAATATATATAGAAACAAATTAGCCGGGCATGGTGGTGCATGCCTGTAGTCCCAGCTACTCGGGAGGCTGAGGCAGGAGGATCGCTTGAGCCCAGGAGTTTGAAGTTGCTGTGAGCTAGGCTGATGCCACGGCACTCACTATAGCCTGGGCAACAAAGCAGACTCTGTCTCAAAAAAAAAAAGGAAGGAAGAGGAGGAGGAAGAAGAAGGAAGGAAGGAAGGAAGAAGGAAGGAAGGAAGGAAGGAAGGAAGGAAGAAGGAAGAAAGAAGAGAAGGAAGAAGGAAGGAGGGAAGGAGGGAAGGAGGGAAGGAGGGAAGGAGGGAAGGAGAAAGAAGGAAGGAAGAAAAGAAAAAAGAAAGAAAGAAAGAAAGGAAGAAAAACAAAAGTCTATGGGAGAGCTGGGAGCAGTGGCACTTGCCTGTAGTTCCAGATACTTGGGAGGCTAAAATGGGAGAGTCACTTGAGCTGAAGAATCCAGCCTGGGCAACATAGAGAGATGCCCATCTCTTAAAAGAAAAAAAAAAATTTAAGAATACAGGAGGATATGCATAGGTTATCTGCAAATACTATGCCATTTTATATGAGGCACTTGAGCATCTGAGGATTTTAGTATCCATGAGGGTCCTGGGACCAATCCCCCATGGATACCAAGACATGACTGTATTTTGCTGATGTTTCTCCATCTCATCAGGAAAAAAATGCCATATTATGGAAAACAGTATGGAGATTCCTGAAAAAACTAAAATTAGAAATATCATATGATTCAGCAATCCTGTTGCTGTGTGAGGAGATCAGTACGTTGAAGAAATTATCTGCACTCTCCTGTTCACTGTAGCACTATTCACAATAGCCAAGATAATGGAATCAACTTAAATGTGTCCATCAGTAGATGAATGGATAAAGAAAATGTGGTGTATTTATATATACAATGGAATAAAGAATGAAATCTTGTCATTTGCAGCAACATGGAGGTCATTATTTTAAGAGAAATCAGGCACAGAAGGACAAACACCACATGTTCTCACTCATGTGGGAACTGAAAAAGTTGATCTTATGGAGGTAGAGAACACAATGGTGGTTTCTAGAGGCTGGGAAGGGTAGGAGGGAGGAAGGGAAAAAGAAAGGTTAGTTAATGATGTGGAGGAGAGTGAGGCCCCACAGGCCATCCCTCTGAAGAAAAGCCAGGCTTCCATGGAGATCAACAGCGATACAGATGATGAGGAAGAAGTCTCAGCAGCACTTACTTTGGCACGTCTGAAAGAGAGCCGGGCTGTTGTATGGAACAGAGACACGGATGTGGAAGAGGACAGGGCCCAACCTGTGGTCCTTCTGGAGCAAAGCCAAACCACCAGTGGGAGAGACAGTGACACAGATATGGAAGAGGAAGGGCCCCCAGTGGAAAAAAGAGAAACCGTCCCTGCGAGTCACACAGACAAAGATGGAGCCATTGTTATAGCACATTCAGAAGAGAAGCAACCTGCTCCTGGGGACAGTGATATAGGGGTAGAAGCAGATAAGAGTTCACCTGGGATCCACCTGCAGAGAAGCCAAGCCTCCAGCACAGTGGACATCAACACAGAAGGGGAGGAGGATGTCCCACCAGGGCCAGCTATTGTACATCTGGAGAAGCATCAGGTGTCTGTGGAGGGGAGATATCAAACAGATGTGGAAGCAGAGAGGGGGCCAGCAAAGCTGCCTGCAGTGCCTCTAGAGGAAGGCCAGCCTCCTCTGGATGGGGACTATGAGACAGATATAGAGGAGGGCATGTCCTTAGCAGCCTCAGCAGCGACAGATGTAAGAAAGAGCCAGCTTTCAGCGGAAGGGGATGCTGGGACAGAGCGGGCTGCAGCTGTTCTTGAGAGGGAGAGAGCTCTTGAGGTGGGGACCCAGGGTGGATCACCTGTGGCACAAGTGGAGCAGGACCTTCTCCCTATCTCAAGGGAGAATCTCACAGATCTGGTGGTGGACACAGGCTCTCCAGAGGAACCCATCCAGCCACAGAGAGAGGGAGCCCAGACCCCCACAGGGAGAGAGAGAGAACCACATGTAAACATGACCAAGGACTCTGAAGATAACCAAGATGGTAAGTGCTGGCCTTTCTTCCTCCCATGATCCCTTAAATAAACCATGGAAGTTCCAAGGTTGGTGTTAGAGAGAAAAGAGTAGACATTAAGTAAGGAGTTAAGGGACAGATATGATTTCTTTTATTATCTATCCTATATTCCTCCCCTACCAGATTCTGAAGATCTGGCCCTGCAAGCTACCCAGTGCTTTGTGGAGAGAGAGAATGAGAGCCTGGAAGGTGAGGACACCTGTATTGTTTGAATCCTGGTACCAGTGGGAGCTGGGAGATTAGACTAGTGGTCCTTGAAGGGTATGAAGGCTGGCATGGATAGGGTAGGAGACCAGAAATGGAATCCCCAGGGTTCTATGGGGGGGGCTGTGCCTAAGCTGTCTTTTCTTGTGCAGCAGTCCAGAGCATGGAGGAGGAACCCACCCAGGCCTTCCTGATTACTCTCCCCCCAGAACCTGGCCCTTCCCATTGCAGCTTCCAGGCCCCAGGTACAACAATCTGTCCCTTCCTCTGTGCTCACAACTTTGCATCCTTTATTGTTTTTCCCCTCTACATATTTCTGTTATATTCCTTAACTACAGTTGGCCCTCTGTACCTGTATGTTCCTCATCTAGGGATTCAACCAACTGTGAATTGAAAATATTTGGAAAAAAATAATAATAAAAATTTTAAAAATGCAATATAACAACTATTTACACAGAATTTTCATCATAGCAGGTACTATAAGTAGGCAGGCTAGAGGTGATTTAAAGCTGCAGTCCAGGCCGGGCGTGGTGGCTCGCGCCTGTAATCCCAGCACTCTGGGAGGCTGAGGCGGGCGGATTGCTCCAGGTCAGGAGTTCAAAACCAGCCTGAGCAAGAGCAAGACCCCGTCTCTACTATAAATAGAAAGAAATTAATTGGCCAACTAATTATAATACTCACGAAAAAATTAGCTGGGCATGGTGGGCACATGCCTGTAGTCCCAGCTACTCGGGAGGCTGAGGCAGGAGGATTGCTTGAGCCCAGGAGTTTGAGGTTACTGTGAGCTATGCTGATGCCACGGCACTCACTCTAGCCTGAACAACAAAGTGAGACTCTGCCTCAAAAAATAAAAAAATAAAAAGGAAATAAAGCTGCAGTCCCCAACCCCTGGTCCTCCCCATTGTTGGCTCGCATCACCACCTGAGATCCACACACCACTCCCATCTGTGGAAAAGTTGTCTTCTATGGAACTGGTCCCTAGTGCCAAAAAGCCTGGGGACTGCTGATTGAAAGTATATGGGAGGCGGGGCACAGTGGCTCGCCTGTAATCATAGCTCTCTGGGAGGCTAAGGCAGGAGAATCGCTCAGGTCAGGAATTTGAAACCAGCCTGAGCAAGAGCGAGACCCTGTCTCTACTAAAAATAGAAATAAATTAATTGGCCAATTAAAAATATATTAAAAAATTAGCTGGGCATGGTGGTGCATGCCTATAGTCCCAGCTACCTGAGAGGCTAAGGCAGGAGGATCACCTGAGCCCAGGAGTTTGAGGTTGCTGTGAGCTAAGCTGACACCATGGCACTCTAGCCCGGGCAACAGAGGGAGGCTGTGTTTCAAAAAAAAAAGAAAAGCCAGGCGCAGTGGCTCACGCCTGTAATCCTACACTCTGGGAGGCTGAGGTGGTGGATTGCTCAAGGTCAGGAGTTGGAAACCAGCCTGAGCAAGAGCGAGACCCTCTTACTATAAATAAAAGAATTAATTGGTCAACTAATATATATAGAAACAAATTAGCCGGGCATGGTGGTGCATGCCTGTAGTCCCAGCTACTCGGGAGGCTGAGGCAGGAGGATCGCTTGAGCCCAGGAGTTTGAAGTTGCTGTGAGCTAGGCTGATGCCACGGCACTCACTATAGCCTGGGCAACAAAGCAAGACTCTGTCTCAAAAAAAAAAAAGGAAGGAAGGAAGGAAGGAAGGAAGGAAGGAAGGAAGGAAGGAAGGAGAGGAAGGAAGAGAAGGAGGAAGGAGGGAAGGAGGAAGGAGGGAAGAGGGAAGGAGAAGAAGGAAGGAAGAAGAAAGAAAAAAGAAAGAAGAAAGAAAGGAAGAAAAACAAAAGTCTATGGGAGAGCTGGGAGCAGTGGCACTTGCCTATAGTTCCAGATACTTGGGAGGCTAAAATGGGAGAGTCACTTGAGCTGAAGAATCCAGCCTGGGCAACATAGAGAGATGCCCATCTCTTAAAAGAAAAAAAAAAATTTAAGATACAGGAGGATATGCATAGGTTATGCTGCAAATCTATGCCATTTTATATGAGGCACTTGAGCATCTGAGATTTTAGTATCCATGAGGGTCCTGGACCAATCCCCATGGATACCAGACATGACTGTATTTTGCTGATGTTTCTCCATCTCATCAGGAAAAAATGCATATATGGAAAACAGTATGGAGATTCCTGAAAAACTAAAATAAGAAATATCATATGATTCAGCAATCCTGTTGCTGTGTGAGGAGATCAGTACATTGAAGAAATTATCTGCACTCTCCTGTTCACGGTAGCACTATTCACAATAGCCAAGATAATGGAATCAACTTAAATGTGTCCATCAGTAGATGAATGGATAAAGAAAATGTGGTGTATTTATGTATACAATGGAATAAAGAATGAAATCTTGTCATTTGCAGCAACATGGAGGTCATTATTTTAAGAGAAATCAGGCACAGAAGGACAAACACCACATGTTCTCACTCATGTGGGAACTGAAAAAGTTGATCTTATGGAGGTAGAGAACACAATGGTGGTTTCTAGAGGCTGGGAAGGGTAGGAGGAAGGAAGGGAAAAAGAAAGGTTAGTTAATGGGTACAAGAACAACAGTTAGGGCCGGGCACGGTGGCTCACGCCTGCAATCCTAGTACTCTGGGAGGCTGAGGTGGGTGGATTGCTCAAGGTCAGGAGTTCGAAACCAGCCTGAGCAAGAGCGAGATCCCATCTCTACTATAAATAGAAAGAAATTAATTGGCCAAATAGTATATATAGAAAAAATTAGCCGGGCATGGTGACGCATACCTATAGTGCCAGCTACTCGGGAGGCTGAGGCAGAAGGATTCCTTGAGCCCAGGAGATTGAGGTTGCCGTGAGCTAGGCTGACGCCACGGCACTCACTCTAGCCTGGGCAACAAAGCAAGACTCTGTCTCAAAAAAATAAAAACATAAAAAAAAAAAAGAGAGAGAACATAGTTAGGCCGGGCGCGGTGGCTCACGCCTGTAATCCTAGCACTCTGGGAGGCTGAGGCAGGCGGATTGCTCAAGGTCAGGAGTTCGAAACCAGCCTGAGCAAGAGCGAGACCCCCGTCTCTACTATAAATAGAAATAAATTAATTGGCCAACTAATATATGTAGAAAAATTAGCCGGCATGGGTGGCACATGCCTGTAGTCTCAGCTACTTGGGAGGCTTGAGGCAGGGAGATTGCTGAGCCGCAGGTGTTTTGCTGAGGTTGCTGTGAAGCTAGGCTTGACGCCCACGGCAAACTCACTCTAGCCTGGCAACGCAAGGAGACTCTGTCTATGCCAAAAAAAAAAAAAAGAACAGAAAGAAGAAGAACACCACGGTTTTACGAATATCGAAGAAATAAGTTCTAGTTTCGATAGCACAGCAGGGTAACTGTAGTTAACAATAATTTATTGTGTATTTCAAAATGGCTAAAAGAGAAGATTTGTAATGATCCCAACACAAAGAAATGATCAATGTTTGAGGTGATGGTTATCTCAATTACCCTGATGTGGTCATTGTAATTGTATGCATGTATCAAAATATCACATGTACCTCATAAATATGTACAATTATGTATCAATAAAAAAAGAAAATGTATATATACACAGTGCAATGGTATTCAGCCTTTAAAAATAAGGAAATTCTATCACTTGTGACAACATGGATGAACCTGGACGACATTACACTGAATGAAATGAGCCAGACACAGAAAGACAAATACTATATGATCTCTTATGTGAGCTCTACAAAAGGTAGCCTCAAAAGCAGAGAACAAGGCCAGGCACAGTGACTCACGCCTGTAATCCTAGCACTCTGTGAGGCTGAGGCGGGCGGATTGCTCGAGGTCAAGAGTTCGAGACCAGCCTGAGCAAGAGCGAGACCCCATCTCTACTAAAAGGAAAATAGAAAGAAATTAGCTGGACAACTAAAAATATATAGAAAAAAAATTAGTGGGGCATGGTGGCACATACCTATAGTCCCAGTTACCTGAGGCTGAGGCAGGAGGATCACTTGAGCCCAGGAGTTTGAGGTTGCTGTGAGCTAGGCTGATGCCATGGCACTCTAACACGGGCAACAGAGTAAGACTCTGTCTCGGGGAAAAAAAAGCAGAGAACAGAATGGTGATTACCAAGGGGCTGAGGGGAGACAGGGGAGGGCATTGGGGAGATGTTTGTCAAAGGATGCAAAATTTCAGCTAGACAGAAGGAGTAACTTCAGGAAATCTATTATACAACGTGGTGACTATGGTTAATAATTGCATTATATACTTAAAAATTCCGAAGAGTAGGCCAGGCGAGGTGACTCACGCCTGTAATCCTAGCACTCTGGGAGGCCGATGCAGGCAGATTGCTCAAGGTCAGGAGTTTGAAACCAGCCGGAGCAAGAACCCATCTCTACTGTAAATAGAAAGAAATTAATTGGCCAACTAATATATATACAAAAAAAGAAAATTAGCCGGGCATAGTGGCATATGCCTGTAGTCCCAGCTACTTGGGAGGCTGAGGCAGGATTGCTTGAGCCCAGGAGTTGGAGGTTGCTGTGAGCTATGCTGACACCACGGCACTCACTCTAGCCTGGGCAACAGAGTGAGACTGTCTCAAAAAAAAAAAAAAGAAAAAAATTCCTAAGAGTAGATTTTAAGTGTTCTCACCACAAAAAAATAAGTATGTGAGGTAGTTGATATGTTAACTAGCTTGATTTATACATTACACAATGACATATATCAAAACTTTATGTTGTATCCCATAAATATATGTAATTTTTATTTGTTAACTAAAAATAAATAAAAGAAAATATAAGGAAACTCAACAAAAATAAAATTGCCAAAGTTATGATGTCAAAAACAAAGTATTCAAAAAAACAATAAAAATAAAACTAAAAATAATGCAAATAGAAATACAATATAAATATTTATATTTTATGAGGTACTATAAGTAATCTAGAGATGATTTAAAGTATATATATATATATATATATATATATATATAGGTTATATGCAAATACTATGCCACTGAGCATCCACAGAGTTTGGTATTCACAGGGCGTCCTAGAGCCCATCTCTTGCATATACCGAGGGATGACTGTATTTCGCTGATGTTTCTCCATCTCATCAAGGAAAAAAATCACATATTAAGTCAGACTCACAGACTAACTAGTTTAGATTTTTTTTTTTTTTTGAGACAGAGTCTCTCTCTGTTGCCCGGGCTAGAGTGCCGTTGTGTCAGCCTAGCTCACAGCAACCTCAAACTCCTGGGCTCAAGCAATCCTGCCTCAGTCTCCCGAGTAGCTGGGACTACAGGCATGTGCCACCATGCCTGCCTAATTTTTTCTATATATATTAGTTGCCAATTAATTTCTTTCTATTTATAGTAGAGACGGGGTCTCGCTCTTGCTCAGGCTGGTTTCCAACTCCTGACCTTGAGCGATCTGCCTGCCTCGGCCTCCCAGAGTGCTAGGATTACAGGTGTGAGCCACCACGCCTGGTCCAGTGTAGATCATTTTTAATTTTATTTATTTTTTTATTTTTATTTTTTTTGAGACAGAGTCTCATTCTGTTGCCCAGGCTAGAGTGGGTGCCATGGCATCATCCTAGCTCACAGGAACCTCAAACTCCTGGGCTCAAGCAATCCTCTTGCCTCAGCCTCCTGAGTAGCTGGGACTGTAGGCATGCGCCACCATGCTCGGCTAATTTTTTCTATATATATATATATATTAGTTGACCAATTAATTTATTTCTATTTTTAGTAGAGACAGGGTCTCGCTCTTGCTCAGGCTGGTTTCGAACTCCTGACCTCAAGCGATCCTCCCGCCTTGGCCTCCCAGAGTGCTAGGATTACAGGCGTGAGCCAGTGCGCCCAGCCTAGATCATTTTTAAAGAGACTACTGAGGAGGCTTTCATATGAGAGTATGGTCTTTTTGAGACAAACATTAAATGTTATAACTACCACCTTTATTCCCAGCTTTCCTTTAATAACTCATTTAGATTTATTATTAATGAATTTATCTTAATCTTTTCAACCTATTTATTATTCCAACCTGTACTCCTTTTTCTCTCTCTCTGTCTACTTCCAGGTGCCCTAGATGAGCCATGGGAGGTCTTGGCTACACAGCCATTCTGCCTGAGAGAGTCTGAAGCCTCTGAGACCCAGCCTATTGCCACCTACCTCGAGGCACATGGGTCTTGCCTGTCTCCACCTAGGGCAACACCACAAGACCAACATCCAGAGCGCCCAGTTCACACAGAGCCACTGGGGATTCAAGGCAGAGGGATGCAGACTGTGGATAAAGGCATGGGTATACCAAAAGAAATGGCCGAGAGGGGGACCCCTGAGAGAGGACCATTGGAGAGGGAAACCAAGAAACTGCCTCCAAGGAGAGAGAGAGATGTGATGGGAGTGGAAGAATTAACCAGGAAGATACAGGACAGAGAACAAAAACAGCTGTTAGCTAGAGACACTCAGAGACAAGAGTCTGACAAAAAGGGGGAAAGTATGAGTCCTGAAATGGATAGAGACAGTTTGAAGGTAGAAGTTGAGTCATCTAAGGAAATCCAGGAGAAAGAAATAGAGAAGCAGACCCTTATAAGAGGAATATTTGAGAGAGTAGAGAGCTCAGTACCAGAGGGAGAGTGTGAGCCAGCTGGACCGGAAGTGAGGGGCCCCACAGTGATGCCGGACAGAGGCACACAGGGAGGGAGCCCAGAGGGAGGGAACCAGGACCAAAAAGAGCAGGCCCCCTGCCCAATACCAGAGCCTGGAGTGGGGACAGGGGACCTTCAGGGACCTACTTCAGCCTCAGTAGCTTCTGGGAGGCAGTCAAGTGGAGAAAGGGGAGCCCAAGTGGGCCCCAAGAGGCAACGAAAAGGTAAGTAAAGGTGGAGGAGAACCCAAGTTGGTATGAAGCCCTCATGATAACCAACCCCTGAGCACCCAATCACTTAGAATTCAGCCACCCTTGTGTTTACTTTCTATCTAGGCAAACTGAATTCTATGATGCCACCTGCTGAGAAGGCTTCCAGAGTAAGAGCTGCTTTCTCTACCAACCCCATACTTCCCAAGTCATCTTGACACCCCCTCCAGTGCCCCTTCCCTTGGCCTTGCTTCAGTCCATTCCTGTCTCCATATCCTAAGTTTTCTTCCATTTATAGAAGAAAGAAGCTTGGTTCTTTCATGGCATGAAAGAGGCTTGGTTGGCTTCTATTCCTTTACCCTTGGTACTCATTGTTTTCTATATCTGTTTCCCAAGTTGCATCTCCTTCTGCCTGAGAAAGAGTCCCTTCCTTCCTGTTCTTTCCTTCTTCACCCCAGCCATCCTCTTCATTGCCATCATCCATGTGTGAAGAATGTTATAGTGGCATTGTGAGGAGAGGGCCGTGGGAAGGAGGACTGCTTGCTCCCCAGGGAGTTCCCAGTCTAATGGAAGAGAGGTCCTAGACAGAAAGATAAGTCCCGTGGGCACAGTTTAACCATAAACAAGTATCAAGAACAGCATCCAAGTTCTAGCTGTCTTCTCTCTACCTCTTCCTCCCTCACTTGCTTCTGTTTCTCCCCAGGAAGATCAGGAATCCCCAGATGCTTATCTGCCTCCTACAGTGCCTGAAGCTTCAACTCCACCCCAAGGCCCCCTTCTCTCCCAGAGCCAAAGACATTTTGCACCTCAGTCCCTTCTTTCTCCTGTCCTGCGTTCTCTCGAGCCACCCATTCCTAAAACCAGGCAAAATGGAAGTCAGGAAGCTTCAGAGACTCCCTTGTCCTCAGAGTTGGAATGTTTCTACCCAAAGCCTAAAGTCAGACACCAGGGGTCTTCCAGGATGACACCCTCTCCAGTTTCCTCTACTACCCCTGAGCCCCACCCTACCACCCCCACAGCCCAGCCTGTCACCCCTGAGCCCACATCTTGTGCCACTCGGGGCAGGACAAATAGATCCTCTCTCAAGACCCCTGACCCAATTGTCTCTATAGCTCCTGAGCTCCAGCCTTCCACTCCCACAGCCCAGCCTGTCACACCAAAACCCATATCTCGGGCCACTCAGGGCAGGACAAATAGGTCCTCTGTCAAGACCCCCAAACCAGTTGTCCCAAAAGCCCTTGAGCTTCAGCCTTCCACCTCCACATACCAGCCTGTCACCCCCAGGGCCACTCAGGGCAGGACAAATAGGTCCTCTGTCAAGACCCCTGACTCAATTGACCCCACAGCCCCTGAGCTTCAGCCTTCCACCTCCACAGCCCAGCCTGTCAACCCCAAGCCCACATCTCGGGCCACTCGGGGCAGGACAAATAGGTCCTCTGTCAAGACCCCTAACCCAGTTGTCCCCAAAGCCCCTGAGCTGCAGCCTTCCACCTCCACAGGCCAGCCTGCTACCCCCAAGCCCACATCTCAGGCCACTCGTGGCAGGACAAATAGGTCCTCTGTCAAAACCCCTGATCCAATTGTCCCCACAGCCCCTGAGCTCCAGGCTTCCCCTTTCACAGGCCAACCTGTCACCCCAAAGCCCACATCTCGGGCCACTAGGAGCAGAACAAATATGTCCTCTGTTAAGGTTCCTGAACCAGTTGTCCCCACAGCCCCAGAGCTGCATCCTTCCACTTCCACAGCCCAGCCTGTCACCCTCGAGCCCACATTTCAAGCTACTCGGGGCAGGACAAATAGGTCCTCTTTCAAGACCCCTGACCCAATTGTCCCCACAACCCCTGAGCTCCAGCCTTCCACCTCCATAGCCCAACCCGTCACCCCAAAGCCCACATCTCGGGCCACTAGGGGCAGGACAAATATGTCCTCTGTTAAGGTTCCTGAACCAGTTGTCCCCACAGCCCCTGAGCTCCAGCCTTCCACTTCCACAGCCCAGCCTGTCACCCCAAAGCCCACATCTCGGGCCACTCGGGGCAGAAATCATAGGTCCTCTGTCAAGACTTCCAAACCAGTTGAACCCACAACCTCTGATCTTGAGCCTCCTACTCCCACAGACCAACCTGTCACCCCTGAGGCCATAGCTCAGGGTGGTCAGAGCAGGACACCAAAGTCTTCCACAATAAGTGTTGTGCCAGTTCCCACCACCCCTGAATTCGAGTCTCCTATCACCACAGAAAAGCCTGTTTACCCTGAGCCTATTCCTCAAGCCAGTTGCAGCAGGAGACAGAGAGCTGCTGGGAAGCATGGTTCCCTCACAGCTCCCGTTGTCCACAAGACTTGCTCTGCATCCCCTGAACCTAAATCCCAATCCTTAAGGAACCAAAGACAGGGAACAGTGAGAGCAGCTGAGTCCATTACAACCATTCCTGAGCCTACCTTTCCCCAGCTGCTTGAGGCATCCCAGATCGAAAAGGTGGAGGCAGCAGATAGATCTGGGATCACCTCAGAGCCCCAGCATAAGGCCTCTCAAAGCCGCAAGAGGCCTTTAACTACCATGGCTTCACCCCCACTTCCAAAACGGTCCCAAAGAGGGCAAGTCTTCCAGAAGACTACATTCCTCAAGGAAGAGGAAGAAGATACCGCAGAGAGGACAGGAAAAGAAGAGGTGAGGAGAGGGCTAGGGCCACAGAACTGGGAAAAAGGGCTCAGAAACTCCCACCAAGATCTTTCTCAATTCCAGGACGTAGTGATTCCAGCACCAGGCAAGAGAAAGAGAGACCAGGCAGAGGAGGAGCCCAAGGGAATACCAAGCCGCAGCCTCCGACGGACTAAACCTAACCAAGAATCACCAGTCCCCAAAGTAGGAGAGAAGGGGCATGGGGGAGCGATGAGGGAGGATAGGAGGAGACCTGGGGGATTGTAGAAACAGGTGCCGATGGCATGGGCTGCTGTGACCAGCTCAGGCCAACCCCTCCACAGGTGCTCTTCACAGGAGTGGTGGATGCTCGAGGAGAGCGGGCAGTGCTGGCACTGGGGGGAAGTCTGGCCAGCTCAGTGGCAGAGGCTTCCCACCTGGTCACTGATCGAATCCGCCGGACAGTCAAGTTCCTGTGTGCCCTGGGGCGAGGGATCCCCATCCTCTCGCTGGACTGGCTGCATCAGGTGAGAGGCCAGGACATAATGACAGACCAGCAGAGTCAGTGACAGGAGAAGATGCTCATGTAGCGCTTTAGAAAGTGGTGGGAGGGAAGAGGGGATATAGGAAGATGGGACATTAGTGAGGCTGAATTCATTGAAATGTTTTGTGAGCTCTCAAGTGCTAGGCAGGAGAGTGGGTGAGGGGCTGGGCTGAGCTTTGATGCTGACTGCTGCCACTCTTAGTCCCGCAAGGCTGGTTGTTTCTTGCCCCCGGATGAATATGTGGTGATTGATCCTGAACAGGAGAAGAACTTTGGCTTCAGCCTTCAAGATGCTCTGGGTCGGGCTCGGGGACGAAGGCTGCTGGAGGTGAGAGGCTGTCTTCTGCCCAGTGCTTCAACCCTCCAGCCAGTGGTTTCCCAACAGTCCATGGCCTCTCAGTGGTACACCACTGGCTCTGCATTGCTTTCCCTTAGGGCTATGAGATTCATGTGACCCCTGGAGTCCAGCCACCCCCCCCTCAGATGGGAGAGATCATCAGCTGCTGTGGAGGCACTGTCCTCCCCAACATGCCCCGGTCCTATAAGGTATGATTGGCACATTCTGGGTCTGGTGAAGTGGCAGATAAAGAGGTGGCTGGAATGGGAAAGGCTGGGGGAAAAAACGGAGGTACAGATGGGAATGTAGAGTCTTGAGAGGGTGGGGAACAGAGCTGTAGTACAAAAGGGATAAGAATTGGGGAAGATATCTGCTGATACCAAATGGACTTATCTTTATTAGGTATTTTTGAAATTTTCAGGCCGGGCAAGGTGGCTCACGCCTGTAATCCTAGCACTCTGGGAGGCTGAAGTGGGCGGATAGCTTGAGGTCAGGAGTTGGAAACCAGCCTGAGCAAGAGCGAGACCCCGTCTCTACCATAAATAGAAAGAAATTAATTGGCCAACTAATATATATAGAGAAAATTAGCCAGGCATGGTGGTGCATGCCTGTGGTCCCAGCTACTCGGGAGGCTGAGGCAGTAGGATTGCTTGAGCCCAGGAGTTTGAGGTTGCTGTGAGCTAGGCTGATGCTATGGCACTCACTCTAGCCTGGGCAACAAAGGGAAACTCTGTCTCAAAAAAAAAAAAAAAAGAAAAGAAAAGAAATTTTCAAATATACATAAAAGGAGAAAGAATAATACAATACAATGAACCCACATATACCAATTACCCAGATTCAACAGTTTAGATTATGCTACATTTGCTCCATCTATCCCTTCTTTTCTTTTGTTTTCTTTGCTGAAGTATTTTATTTTGTCAATTTTTTTTTTAGAGACAGAGTCTCTCACTCTGTCGTCCAAAGTTCTGGGCTTACAGGCATCAGCCACCACACCCAGCCTCTTTGATAAAGTATTTTAAAGCAAATTGCAAATATATTATTTCCTCTTCCATACGTAAGTATACATCTCTAAGAAATATGTACATTTTATTACATAATCACAACATCATTGTTTATCCCTAACAATGTTTATCCCTTTGTTTATCCCTAAAAATTAACAGTAGTTCTTGGTCATTTTCTCACACTCCAGTAATAAAATTTCTCCACTTGTCTGAAAAATGTCTCTGGAGTTTTTCAAATCAGGATTCAGATAAGGTCCACGCACTGCTGCACTTGTATCTCTCTTTTCTTTTTTTGAGACAAAGTCTCACTCTGTTGCCCCAGCTAGAGTGCTGTGGCGTCAGCCTAGCTCAGAGCAACCTTAAACTCCTGGGCTCAAGCCATCCTCCAGCCTCAGCCTCCAGAGTAGCAGGGACTACAGGCATGCGCCATCATGCCCGGATAATTTTTTCTATATATATTAGTTAGCCAATTAATTTTTTTCTATTTATAGTAGAGACAGGGTCTCGCTCTTGCTCAGGCTGGTTTCAAACTCCTGACCTCAAGCAATCCACCCGCCCCGCCTCCCAAAGTGCTAAGATTACAGGTGTGAGCCACCGTGCCTGGCCTGCACATGTATCTCTTATTCTCTTTTACTCTAGAGCATCCCCCGACCTACCCTCCCTTTTTTATGCCATTGACTTCCTGCAGAGACTAGGTTAGTTGTCCTTAGAATGTTCCCCATCTGGATTTTTCTGTTTGCTCCTTTGATGTATCATTTATCTTGTTCCTGTATCTTTTGTATTTCCTGTAAATTGTAGTTAATTTTAAAAGCATGCATAAATTCAGATTCAACTTTTCTGTCAAGAATAGCTCATAGACAGTGCAGTGTGCTTCATATGAAGCCTCATATCAGGAGGTATTATTTTAGTGGTGCTAAGTGTGATTATTGGGTCCTGAACTCATTTCTAAGATTTTTTTCACCCCAGACTTTCTCTTTTCTTTGTCTTCCTCAGCCTCAGAGAGTTGTGATCACATGCCCCCAGGACTTCCCCCGATGCTCCATTCCATTGCGGGTTGGGCTGCCCCTCCTCTCACCTGAGTTCCTGCTGACAGGTGTGCTGAAGCAGGAAGCCAAGCCAGAGGCCTTTGTCCTCTCTACTTTGGAAATGTCATCCACCTGAAAACTCCAGTACCCTATTCTCTCCCAGACCAATGAATAAAGTATTATAAAATATTTGGAAGAAAAAATGGGCTTTAGAAAAGATTGGGATATATTAGTGTGACTCTAGGGAATATGGGTGGGACCAGAAAGGTTTATAGGTAAACAGAAAGAGAGATTGGGAGCCACAGATTTTTTTTAAGTGGACATTTTAAAATTGGCTAATCCCATGCTCAGATATCTTAAGTAGCTGTTCATCTTTAGCCAGATTGATGTAGTTATTGCTCCATGTCACTCAGAGTTTCCTGCCTCCTATTTGGAAACCACCTCTCTTTTTCTTACTGGGATTCTTACTCTTTCTCGAAAGATAGTGGAAACAACTTTGGGGTCAGGAACTTGAAGAGATGCTTGGAGTGAGTAGATTTGAAGGTAGAGTTAGAGAATGCTATTAAAACATTTTCTTCTTTTCTGGCCTCTAGAAGCATCCTTTAGCTTTGATTTTGAGCAAGTCTCTGTACTTTTCTGGCCTGCTTTTCTAGTATTTATAAAATTAGAGCTTAGGCTTGACCTCTGCGATAAATAAATATTCACTCTGTGCCTTATGGTATAGTGCAGTTTTTTTTAGTATCTGGGTCTTGAGACACAAACTTTTTAAAAAATAGTTATGGACTTTAATTTATCATTATCTTCTATTTAGGGCAAATTATATAACATTTCTTAAATTTAAATTTTAAAAGTTGGTCGATTACAAGTATGTGGAGAAGTTGGAACCTTTATACATTTGCTAGTGGGAATGTAAAATGGTTCAGCCTCTGCGGTAAACAGTGAGGGTTCCTCAAAAAGTTAAACACAAAATTACCATATGATCCAGCAATTCTGTTCCTAGGCAAATACCCCAAAGAACTGAAAATAGTTGAAATAGTTGTTCAAACATTAATATTCATATCACCACTTTTCACAAAAGCCAAAAGATGGAAACAACACAAATATTCCTAAGTGGATGAATCGATAAACAATTGTGATACCCATATAACAGTATTATTCAACCTTAAAAAAAGGGTGAAGTACTAATACGTGCTACAACGTTTTGAAAATGAACCTCAGAAACACTTTGCTAAGTGAAAGAAGCCAGACACAAAAGGACGCATTTTATGATTCCACTTATATGCAATATCAGAATAGGTAAATTCTGATTTGTGATTGCCAGAGGCTGGGGGATGGGGAAGGTGGGGAGTAACTGCTTAATGGGTATAGAATTTTATTTTGGGGTGATGAAAATGTTTTGAAACTAGATAAGATGGTGGTTGTACACATTGCTAACATACTAAATGCCACTATAATGTTCTCTTTAAAATAACTAATTTTATGTTGCCTGAATTTCACTTCAATTAAAGAAAATTGGCTGATTAGTTTTGTATACTTTTCTGCATGTAAGTTATACTTAAGTTTGGAAAACTTTGGTATAGTAAAAATAGCATGAGCTTGGCCAAGTACTATGCTGGTTTTTCAACATATCTAATCTCATAATATATATTAACACAGCCATTGTGTATGGCACACAGTAGCAATAAATATTAGTCTCCTTGCACAATTCAAAGCCTTCCTACTACATGAGATTCACATCCCTCAGATTCCTTACAGTGCCTGCTATCTCTAGAGCACCATGTAGCACTCAAGTACGCTCCCTCTTTTTTTTTTTTTTTTTTTACGCTCCCTCTTCATGACTGGTACTATTTAAGTGCCCCAATTTAAACTTCTAGAGAATAAGGATCTTTTCTTACACTTACAATGCTTTTAATGTGCCACAGCTTGTAGCGCATTGCTTTGTGTCATGTCATGGTCCTACCAGGAAATGGATAGCACAAATTAGGATAATTAAGGGGAGAGTTTAATATAGTGAGATAATTACAAAGTAGGCAGGGTATAGGGAAATCACAAAGAATAGTGCATGCAGTACCTTAGTACCCACAGTTATGCTGTGACCACCTCCACGCTCAAAAAGATGAAAGTAGAGGGTAGTTTGAGGGCCTCCTCAAACTGTGACCTTCATTGATACAGTCCATTCAGAACAACTTGAAGCAGAAAGCAGGGTGGAGACTCAATCTAGAGGGAAGACATAAGCTATCTGGTGCAGTACACAATAGCACTGAGTCAGAGGCAGGGTGGGAGTTACTGAGCCTACCTAGGAAGGGTAGGAAGAATGTGGAGCCTGTGGGATGCTGCTTGGCAGTTTTCTCACCCCTTAGCCACAGGACTAGCAGCTTCTTTTAACTATGTCAGGCAATTTTCATCTCTCTGGACCTGTTTCTTCTATCTATAAGTTGAGGGAGTTAGTCTGATATCTAAGGTCCCGATTATGCACACAGCTACTGTGACTAGGCCCTTAGCGACATGATCTTCAATTCTGACAGCAAAGGTTATTACCACAAATATTTTAACGTATATTAAATGGTTACAAATCAACACTCTGACACTATTAGAACAAACCTTTCAGTATTACAGAGAAGTTCTTTGTCCTCAGCAAGTGGAGAGGCAACAACTCACCTTTGTAGTAAGTTACTGAATAAGCATTATTTTATGGTAAAATATTCACCTTAAAAAAAATCTAACAAGATGTAATAGGTAACAGTCTGCCTGGGTCAACAGTGGGTTCTCTCCCCATTCAAAGTGTGTTTTTTTTCCAATTTGTCAATTTTTAATTGTTTCTGCTTTTTCTGTCCTAAGAAATCTTTGCCTGCCCTCAGCTTTTTCCTATTTTTCTTTTCTTTCGGCACATTATGGGGTACAAATGTTTAGGCCACGTATATTGTCTTTGCCCCACCGAGTCAGAGCTCGGAGCGCGCCCATCCCCAGACAGCAGCCGGCGCGCCGCACCGTCGGTGCCGCCACTAACGTGTCTCCGAGGTTTCGGGCCCTCGGCTCGGGCCGTCCAGCCGCGGCTAAGGTAAAGGGGGCTGCAATATTCCGCTTCCACAAGAACCCCGCGAGAGAGGAACTGCCTTCGTTTTAGATGGGACGTCGAGCCGAGCTGAGCTGCAACCCCCGTCAGCGGTGGCAGAGCGCCGCGCCTTCCCGCCGCAGGATTCTAACGTCCGCATCTGTGACGCGGAGCGCGCAGGTCGGAGCCGAACCCGCACCGTCCCGCAGCGCGGCGGGATGGCGGCGCCGGGCGGGCCGCGGGCGGGAGCTCCGCCCCCGCGGGCGGGATTGGCGGGGGGCGGGCCCGGGGGCGGGGCCTGCGGCCGCGGGAACCCCCAGCCCGCCCCTCCGCCCGCCCCCGCGCGCGTCGCCATGGCCCCTGCCCTGCTCCTGGTCCCTGCCGCGCTCGCCGCCTTCGTGCTGGCCTTTGGCACCGGAGTGGAGTTCGTGCGCTTCACCTCCCTTCGGCCACTCCTCGGAGGGGGCCCGGAGTCTGGCGGCCCGGGTGAGCGGGAGGGAGGGAGCTCCAGGGAAGGACGGTGCGGCGGCGGAGAGCCCGTGGGCGCGGGGTGGGACGAACCGCCGGGGAAGTCCCGGGGCGGGGACTCGAACTGGAAAGCCGCGGAGAGGCTACAGGGGAGGAGGCTGAGGGCTGCATTAGGGCCTCGAGGGATTAGCGGTTTGGGGAGGCGGGAGAGTGAGGACTGAGGGGAAGGGAAAGGATGATAACCAGAGTATTGTAAGGAAAGTGTTCTGTGGAGAGGACTTTGGCGAGTGTTTAAGAGAGGGAGCATTTGGAAAACCCAAATAAGAGGGTCATTCCAGCGGTCAGTCCGTGGTCTCTCCAGACATGCTTTTTGTGACTGCCCAACATGCATTTTTCTATGGATCCTCTTCCCCAGGTCTGAAGGAGGCCTAGGGAAGAGAGAAGAAACAAGGAATGGGAAGTGAAGTGAGCACGGCCTAGAAAGGAAGCATTACGGCTCTTGAAACTATTAAGGGACGCGGGGCCCCCAGAGGAGATGAGGGCAGGTGGGAATGGTCTACCATCTTCTTGATTTTTTTGTCCCTTTCTCCCTCCACTCCCCTTAGTCGCCCGCCAGGGATGGGTGGCTGCCCTGCAGGACCACAGCACCCTTGCCGCTCTGGCTTGGGATCTAGGGCTCCTGCTACTATTTGTTGGGCAGCACAGCCTCATGGCAACTGAGACCGTGAAGGCGTGGACATCTCGGTACTTTGGGGTCCTTCAGAGGTCACTGTATGTGGCTTGCACTGCCCTAGCCTTGCAGGTATGAGGCCCTGACAGCTGAGTCCCCAAGGGAGACCAACTGTGGGAGGGACGTTCTGGATTGCAGAGGCAAAATGTAGGTTAAGGAGGAGAACTGAGGGTGTTCAGGACTTTAATCCCAGCTTCCATTCCTCCACAGCACATTTCTATCAAGAAGGCTGTACTCATCATTCTCCAAGCATGTCATGTGCATTCTCACCCTTGCAACTTTGTTCATGTTATCCTGCTTGAGATCCCCCTTTCACTCCTCTTCAGTACTACCCTTTCTTCAAAACCACTTCCCTAGGTCTTAAGAGAAGGCTTTCCAGTTAGTACTTGTGCTTGGCACAGGCTACTTTGTGTACTTATCCGGTCACCCGCATCTGTTCTGTAAGTCTTCAGGGTAGAGACAGGTTATCCTTACCTCCTTAGGACCTCACCCAACACCCTCCACATGGTGAATATTTGTTGGTGGTGCTTATGAGAGAGGTGGGAGAGAGCTGCCCGCTAGGCTGGGGTGGGGACAGCCTCTGGGTTTGAGTGTGCAGGGCAGGCTTCTTAGATATCCAGCCCTCATCCTTCTCCAGCTGGTGATGCGGTGCTGGGAGCCTGTACCCAGAGGCCCCGTGTTGTGGGAGGCTCGGGCTGAGCCATGGGCCACCTGGGTGCCCCTCCTGTGCTTTGTGCTCCACGTCATTTCCTGGCTCCTCATCTTCAGCATCCTTCTCGTCTTTGACTACGCTGAGCTCATGGGCCTCAAACAGGTGAGGATCTCAGATCTCAAATTTCTACCTGAGACTTCTGACACTTTTTAGAACTCCTCTTTCTCTCCCAAGGATCTCCCTCCTCTACCTTCCCCTGGCTTTCTACTACCCCCTCACCTCCCTTTCCTGTGAGACAATCTTCCTTCAACCTTCCCCAAAAGGCAGCAACTGTGGGCCTCCTGGGCCTGAGAAGGTGCATAGACCTTCCAGAGATCTCGATCAGGGACTCAAGTCTCAGGAGGGGGTTCCTGGGCCTGAATTCTAGGAATGTAGTGCCCAGAAGAGGAGGCTAAATAGGGAAAAGGCCTTGACTCCATTTTCAAGCTGTTCTCTGTCTCCTAGGTGTACTACCATGTGCTGGGGTTAGGTGAGCCTCTGGCCTTGAAGTCTCCCCGGGCTCTGAGACTCTTCTCCCACCTGCGCCACCCAGTGTGTGTGGAGCTGCTGACGGTGCTGTGGGTGGTGCCCACCCTGGGCACTGACCGACTCCTCCTTGCTCTCCTCCTTACCCTCTACCTGGGCCTGGCTCACGGACTCGACCAGCAAGACCTCCGCTACCTCCGTGCTCAGCTACAAAGAAAACTTCACCTGCTCTCCCAGCCTCAGGATGGGGGGGCAGAATGAGGAGCCAACTCTGGTTCCAAGGCCTGTAGTTCCTCTCCCCCTCGAATTCTAAATCCTTTTACAGCCAGGCCCTGGCTGCTTGAAACCGGTGGCTCAAAGCCACGACTGAAGGAGCTGCCCTTTCCACTACCTGAGACTTCATTCCGTGGGTCCAACTCCACACCCTGAATTCTGAGTTTCAGTCACTGGACTCCAAGGTCTACTTTACACCCACCAGGAAGGGGGGCGTGGCACCCACCTGTACCCTCCCCGTTTAGGGCATGACACCTCTCCAACAGCCTCGTGTACCCTCCCTGTGTACCCTCCCCGTTTAGGGCATGACACCTCTCCAACAGCCTCCTCACAAGGAGAGATTCTGCCCTGACTACTCCCTAGGCACTGTTAACTCGCCCCTGCACCTTAGGGGTTCCCTTCTCCACGGCTCACTCCCATCCAAGAGGCTGGACCAGGGTCTCCTGGCTTGACAGCAGTGGCCGCTCCACTCCCCGCCCTCGTCTTGCCACCTCCCTAGGCCCCGCCCCGGCTCGCTCTCCCGCCCCGCAGAGGGTTCTTCCGCTCTTGACTGCGTGACTTAGGGCTCCCTGCACTCCTGCGCTGCAGGAGAATAAAACTCGGCCTGGTTTTCCTACATTCGGGATGCAATCTGCCAGTCATTAAAGCTGCAGGGCCAAGTCTGGGGAGGAAGGCGAGCGCCAAACTGGAGTCTGGGCAGCCACCACGCCCCCTGGCGACCGCCGGGCTGCGGCCACTCCCCGCAGACCCGCCCCCACCTTCCCGAGCAACCCTGCCTCCCCCTTCCAATCCCCCGGTCTCTGGGCGGCAGACCCACCGTGGGAGCACGTTGAAGTGAGAACGAGGGGACAGCGCCCTGGCGGGGAGCGAGCTTCCAAAGCCTTAGGCTTCTGAGAGCCTCTCCTGCCGCCTCCCCACATCGCCCCAAGCCTGGCGGCCGTCCTCGACCCCACAGCAACAAAGGCTGGCCCGGGAAGGCACAGGCATGGGGAGGAGCGACCGAAGATGGGAAGGGCGGGCCCGGCCCGGAGCAGCTGCCTCTTCCTCCCGCAGTCCCTCGAGGGGCCTGAGTCACCGGCCCACCCGGGTCTGCGAGCTGGGGCGGGGTCTGGACACCTGGGTCCTCCAAGACTGCCAGGCGGGCAGGGCTGAGGAGCCCTGGTGACAGGGAGCGGAGGGGGGTGCGGGCGAGAAGCGGGCAGTCCGGGGGGCTCCGCCCCGCCCCGGGCTCCGCCCCGCGCCCCCTTCCCTCCCGGCATTGTCCTTAGACAAAGCGGTCGCCGCCCCCCGCCCGGCCCCCTAGTCTCTGTCTCTGTCCCTCCTCCTCTGCTCCCTCTTTCCCTCCTCCTCTCCGTCCCTCCTCCCCTCCCTCTAGTCTCCGGATCTCCCTCTCTCCCTCTCTCCTCCTCTTCCTCTCTCCGGACGCCTGGCTCCTCCGGGGCCCCTCCGCTCGTGAGTTGACTGCGGGTCTCAGACTTGGGGAGGGCTGTCTCCCGCTCGCGTCCCCGGCCGGGTCCTCGGGCTGCCTCCTGTTGTGCCGAGACTGTCCGTGCCCGGCTCCGCGAGCCGGACTCGCGGCTCTGGACAGAGGCACGGGGCCGCTCCCCGGCACGCCTGGGTCGCGGGGCGCAGCCGCTGGGGCCGGCGGACGGTGGCGCCGGGACCGGCGGGGGAGGACGGCAGGGTTCTGGGAACGTGCTGGCAGCCCCGACGCCGGGCCCGGGAGTCCCCGGGGAGGCGCATTTCCCCCGGCCGCCTCGGGGGCGGGGCGAGGGCCGGAGAGGCGGGGCCCGAGCGGGGCTGGCGCGGGAGCCGGGACCCGCGGGCCGGAGCCGGGCCGAGGCTCGCCGGGCTGCTGCCGCAGGGCTCCCTTGCGCCGCTCCCCGACTCCCTTCTCCCGCAGGCCCCTGCCCTCCGGCCTCCCGGCCTCCCCGACGTCCCCTCGGTCCGGCCGCCGCCTCCGGGGCTTCCCTGGCCTTCCTTCCCACGCTCGCCCCCGCGGGACACCGGTGGGGCAGCCTCGCCTGAACCCGGCTCCCCCTTTTCTGTCTTCGCGCGCTCGCCAGCTTCTCTTTTCGCCCCTGTCTCCTCACGTCCCGGGGACTGTCTCTGCTACCCGCTGACGCTGCTGCCAAGTCCGCCCGCCCTCCCCGCCCTGAATCTCGACTCTTCCTCTCACGTCCCCCAACTTGCTCACAACTGCTCTTCGCTTTTCTACTCCCCCGTGCTCTGCCCTCAGCCTCAGCTCCTCTGACCTTCTCGGGGTCCCACCTCTCCCGCCACTTCCTCCCCGCCCACCCCGTCGCACCCCCAGGGCCTCTCTGAGCCTCTTCCTCCTGTTCTCTGCCCCCAGCGCTCCCTGCCCTCACCTCAAGACGACCATGGCCACCATCCCAGACTGGAAACTCCAGCTGCTAGCCCGGCGCCGGCAGGAGGAGGCGTCCGTCCGTGGCCGGGAACAGGCAGAGCGGGAGCGCCTGTCCCAGATGCCAGCCTGGAAGCGGGGGCTCCTGGAGCGCCGGCGAGCCAAGCTTGGACTGTCCCCTGGTGAGCCCAGCCCTGCGCCCGGGACTGCAGAGGCTGGACCTCCAGACCCAGATGAGCCTGCAGTCCTTCTGGAGGCCATCGGGCCAGTGCACCAGAACCGATTCATCCGGCAGGAGCGGCGGCAGCAGCAGCAGCAGCAGCAGCGGAGTGAGGAACTACTCACGGAGAGAAAGCCTGGGCCTCTGGAGGCCAGGCAGCGCAGAGCCAGCCCTGGGGAGGTGCATGATCAGAGGCCCAAGGGAAGAGAGTCAAGGGAAGAGAGGCTAAGTCCCAGGGAGACCAGAGAGAGGAGGCTGGGGAAAGGGGGAGCCCAAGAGTCGAGCCCCAGGCCTGTGGAGTGTTGGGACAGGAGGCAAAGCCCAGGAGAGGTGGGAGACACGAGCTCCCGGCTGTCAGAGACATGGAAATGGAGGCTGAGCCCTGGAGAAACTCCAGAGCGGAGTCTAAGACTGCCAGAGTCTGGAGAACAAAGTCCCAGGAGAAAAGAGGTGTGGGAAAGTAGACTGAGCCCAGGGGAATCTGGCAACCAGAAGTTGGGCCTGACAGAGGCCCGAAAGTGGAGGCCTGACTCTAGAGAGTCTCAGGAACAGAGTTTGGTACAACTGGAGCCAACGGAGTGGAGGCTGAGCTCAGGAGAAAGAAAAGACTACCTGGAGAAATGTGGGAGAAAAGAAGAGAGGCCGATTCCAGGGATGGCCCCAGAAGAGCTTACAGTGCTGTCAGAGACTCTGACAAGGGAGGCTGAAGGCAACAGTGCAGGGGTAGTGGAGGCAGCAGAGCAGAGGCCTAGCCCTGTGGAAGATGGCAACAGGAACTTGAGGCCAACAGAAGGGTGGAAATGGACCCTGAACTCTGGGAAGGCTCGAGAATGGACACCCAGAGACGTAGAGACTCAGACTCAGAAACCAGAACCTCCAGGGTTGGCCGAGAAGTGTCTGGAGCCTTCTGGTGTAGAGGCTGGAGTGGGGGAGGCTGAGAGGGAGGAGGCGGGGGCTCAGGGCAGGCCTCTAAGAGCCCTGCTGAACCGCTGCTCTGAGCCCTCCCCCCTCCCAACAGAGGACGCTGGGACTGGAGGCCCTACACAGCAGGAAGAGGAAGCAGTGGAACTGTGGCGCCCACCACCGGCCCCTCTCTCTCCCCCACCCCCAGCTGTCCCCCAGCCCCCTGAGGATCCCCTCATGAGCCGACTGTTCTATGGGGTGAAGGCAGGGCCAGGGTTGGGGGCCCCCCGCCGTAGTGGGCATACTTTCACAGTCAACCCCCGGCGGTCTGTGCCCCCAGCCCCCCCAGCCACAGCTGATGCTGCAGTCGCTGGGGCTGGGAAGAAGCGGTACCCCACTGCTGAGGAGATCTTGGTTCTGGGGGGCTACCTCCGTCTCAGCCGCAGCTGCCTTGTAAAGGGGTCCCTGGAAAGACATCACAAACAGGTAGGGGAGCTGCCAAGCCAGACTTCTTAAGATGCCCACTTGTCAGTTCTCCCTGAACTTGCCTTTCTTTCTTTTTTATACCCCTGTATTCTTATCCTCTGCTATTCTTTCTTGTTAATTCCTGCCGCCACCCTTCCTCCCTCTGCACACACACCCTTCCTTCTCCTACCTCTCCTTTTCCATTTTGGGCCCTGAAGATCCTGCCTAGCAATCCAATCGGGCACTGGGTGTGTCTTTCTCAGGGTGTGCCCTCAGCTCCTTCTCCCTTCCCTCAGGCTCTGAATTTCGCCCCCATTTCTTTCCTTCTTTGCTCTGAGTCTGTGGCCCACTCCAGCCCATCTGGGGAGAGATGGGAGCCTAAACCCACAAGCTCCAATCTAGGAGGGCAGGGTCACCAGGCTGAAAGCACTTTCTGCTTTCCAGGGTAGAGAATGTCAGCGCAGGAAGCCTAGGGCAGCAGAGTGGGTGGGGTTCTGGGAGAAATTGCAGGGAGAAGTGAGAAAGATGTCACAGTCCCAGGGAAATGTGGGCAGAGCTAAGTGGGGACACCTTGCATAGAAGGGAGAGGGGAGATAGAGCCGGGCTGGCTAAAGAGCAGAGAGAAGGCTTTCGAACCCTGAGTCTGCCCCATGGAAGAGACACACACAGAGGCCATTTGAAGTGGGTAACCTCGGGGTTGCACACCCCCAGCTGGGCCACTGCTTCAGACAGTGCTCCCTTCTCTCTTGGGACAAGAAAAGCCTTCTCCTCTTCCAAAATACCCCCGCCCCTCACTCCCCCTGTCCTTTCTCCCTGGGCTTCCCCTTCCTCCCCAGAACTGGCTCAGCAATCGGTTTTCCCCTCTCTTCCTGTCGTCCTGGCCTCTCCCTCCCTTTGGGGTAGCAAAAGAGAGAAGTACATTTGGAGACACAGTGCTGAGAGCAGGGACTGGCCAGGGAGTACACTGGGAACTGGAGATGGGGGTGGAGGCTGAGGCCAGTGGAGGGTCAGAGGTTAGACTTGAACAAGGGCATGCAGGGGGATGGGAACAGCCAGGCTGACTTCTGCCGCTGGCCCTTGTCCAACTCCTTCACTATACACACCCATCCTTTTCCAGCTTGAAAATCTCTAGGGAGGGAGAGGTCCCATACTCAGATGTTGCAGACTCAAAGGTCCCTCCCCTGACACATCTCCTCAGAGCCTGGGAAGCCCAATCTCATTCTTATCCCATATGTTAATGTCCTCAGATTTGTTTCTTGTGTCCTCAGTGTGGGTGGGAAACCACAGGGACCAACGATCTGGGGGGTGTTTGATCCCCCTTATTCGTCTTCACATGAATCTTAAGCTCCCATCCCTGAGCCTAGGTATTTGGGAATCTACCCTGAGCTCTCTGGCTGCTACCAGCACCTACCCCTCAGGGCTGGGCAGATGCAAGGAAGGAGGACAGGAAATTCCACCAGGGTGAGGTGTTCAGAAAAGTCACTTCCTACTAAGGCTGGCTTGTGCCCTTGGGGAAGAAGGAGCAAACAGAGGCATGAAATTTTGGGGCCCAAAGCCCAGGGAGCATCCAAGGGGAGCCAGGAACTGACTACAGGGCAGGACCTGTGATGGTGATCATACCTAGGCCAGGGAGTAGGGGAACCGGAAGCAGATCGCCCAAACAGGAAGCCTGGGGTGGGGGCCGGAAGGCTGGTGGGACTAAGTGGGCAACGCTGGGCCGGGACTGCCAGAACTGTGCTCAGGATGTGGTGAGAGAATAAGGAAGCAGTGGCTCAAGGGAGGGGCTGGGGGTGGGGAAGAGGCAGCAGAGAGTTCCCTAGACCCAGACGCCTCACCCTCTACTCTCTCTCTCAGGCCTTGCTCATCAGGGCCAGGTGTGCCTTGTCCCAACTCTGCCGCAACCCAAGGGCTCAGGAATAAGTGACAGGAGGACCCCGACATTGACCTCCCCACCTTCCTGAAATAACTCCTGTATGCAGGCTAATTTTCTGCCATCAGGAGAGAAATCCCAGCCCTGCCATGGGAGCCCAGGGGATGGCTATGGCCAGGGGCCTTCCCCAGAGGCCCCTTGGGCTGAGAGATTGGCCCCTTTGTGACCTTATATAGCTGAAGCAGGAGGAGTGAATGAGTCACCCCTCCTCCCCCCACTCCCAAGCAGGCTGTGCATTCCTGAGTAGCCCAGTCAGAAGCTGGTGGGGGTTGAGGAGAGAGGTAGGGTGGGGGGAGACACATAGATGTAGACTGAGAGCAAATAAAATAAATCCTTTTTCAGAGTAGATAGTAAACTATAGAGGTTGTTATCCCAAAAGAGGATATGAAAATAAAACAGAAATGGGTTCCCAGAAATCTGGATTAATCTGTCAATGACAGAGTCATAACTGGGCCCTTCCAAGAAGTTGAGATAGAAGCAGTCGGCTGCTGCTACTTGATTCCACCACACAGACTGGGGTCCACTGCGTGCAGGCTAGGTTACTCCTCTATTGTTCCCCCAGCATTAGTCCTCTGTTGGGACCTCATCTGAGGTCTGGACAAATCTTATCCATTGTAGCAACCAGACTCCTTTTTTTTTTTTTTTTTTTGAGACAGAGTCTCGCTTTGTTGTCCAGGCTAGAGTGAGTGCCGTGGCGTCAGCCTAGCTCACAGCAACCTCAATCTCCTGGGCTCGAGCGATCCTTCTGCCTCAGCCTCCCGACTAGCTGGGACTACAGGCATGCGCCACCATGCCCGGCTAATTTTTTATATATATTGGTAGAGATGGGGTCTTGCTCTTGCTCAGGCTGGTCCCCAGAGCTCAAGCGATCCTCCCACCTAAGTAAATAGGTGTGCTAGGATTGGAGCTATAAGCCACCGCACCCAGCCCAGACTCCTTTTGACAGCAGACACAGGCATAATAAATAAGCAAATTCTCTAGTAGGTTAGAAGGTGCTAAGTGATTATGAAAAAAAAAGTAGAACAGGGGTAAGTGGAACTTAGAGGGTCACTAGATGGGGGAAGTGAATGTGCCAACTTCAGAATAAGGCCATTGGGACGGAGGGAACCATGGGGCTGTTTGGGTGGAAGAGTGTCCCAGGCAAAAGGAACAGCCAGTGCAAAGGCCCTGAGGTGAGAGTGTACCTGGTGGGCTTGGAGGAAACCAAGGCCAGTGTTGCTGGAGTAGAGGAGGATACCAGAGAGGCAAAGGCAGGAATAGCACATTGGAAGCACCCTGTAAGCTCTGGTCAGGCCTGGCTTTTGCTGCAAGTGAGATGGGGAGCCATTGCAGGGTTTGGAGCCAAGGAGTGACACACAGTCCCTGAGTTCCAGCTTCCCATGGGGACCCAGGTGTCATATCTCATACAGTCCTTGGCAACCACCTGTTCAGCCACCCTTTTGGCTTCTGATATCCCAGTGCATACAGGGGCTCAGGGATGAAAGGCTCAGCCCCAAGTCTTCCCAAACAGAAGCCAGGGGAAGGCCTGAGTAGATCATCCGAACCTTTCCAAGTAGTGCATATAGAATCCTGTTTGTCTCCCTAATCCCTTTGGCTCCCAGACTTAATCCCACCCTGCTCCTTCCCCCTGAGCTTCTTAAAAGGACAAAGGGGAAGGGTAGAAAGGCAGTGAGAACAGGTGGGACTCATCTAGCTCTTGTGACAGTGTGGAGTTTTTTTTTTAGTTTTGGGGGATTTTTTTTTTTTTTTTTGAGACAGTCTTGCTCTGTCACCTTGGCTAGAGTGCCATGGCATCATTATAACTCACTACAACCTCAAACTCCTGGGCTCAAGTGATCCTACTGCCTTAGCCTCCGAAATAGCTGGGACCACAGGCATGAGGCAAGACAGTCAGCTAATTTTTCTATTTTCAGTAGAGATGAGGTCTTGTTCTTGCTCAGGCTGGTCTCAAACTCCTCCCAGAGTGCTAGGATTACAGGCATGAGCCACCGTGCCCTACTAGGACAGTGTGTTCATAAAGAGTTTTCTGCCCCATCTCTGGCCTTTTGCCTCTTCTCTGCCTGTCCCTTTTGGCACACTCTCCACCCCTACCCTAGGTTTGTGTGGACTTTCCTCTCTGCCCTTGTCACCTCCCCCAGCTGCACCTTTCAGGGACTCAGTCTTCTCCCATGTGTGTTGGGGCAGTCTCTTGGTTCCTCTGGGCCTTTCTGTTGGTCTCTTATCTCCGAGGCTCTGGCCCCTTTGCTGTGGACGGCAGAGCAGCGAGGGGGGTGGGAGCAGGCAGGTGCCCAGGGTCCTGGGCTTCCCAGGGAACAGCAAGGGGCTAAGGGTGTGAAAATCTTGCTTCCGGCTGGGACTCCTCAGCCAGCTCTTTCCTGTCTGGTCAGCTCAAATCTCACATTGTCTGGGAAGCCTACCTGATTGCCCCCAGGGTGTCCAAAGACTCAGTTGTGATCACACCATACATTTTTATTTATTTTTACCCCTCTGCCTCCCACACTCTAAAGAGCAGGGACCTTAGTCTTGCATACTCGCTTTCTGCCTCCCAGGACCCTGCCAAAGCCGCAGACTAAAGTCTGGTGTTTTTGAAATGATATGGTTGAAGAGGGAAAATCTGGGATTGGAGAACCTGTACGAAAAACAAACAAACAAACAAACAAAAAACTAGATCTCGAGTGGATGGGGAGGGGAGAGTCAGCAGGGCGCCTAGTGCAGCCCAGCCCCACCTTCCGCCTGTCCCCGCAAACTGCCCCCACCCCGCTTCTGCGCTGAGCTCGCCTCTCCCGCTCTCTCCTCCCGCAGCTCAAGATCTCCTTCAGCGAGACAGCCCTGGAGACCACGTACCAATACCCCTCCGAGAGCTCGGTGCTGGAGGAGCTGGGCCCGGAGCCTGAGGTCGCCAGCGCCCCCAGCCCCGCAGCGGCCCACCCCGACGACGAGGAGGACGAGGAGCTGCTGCTGCAGCCCGAGCTCCAGGGCGGGCTGCGCGCCAAGGCCCTGATCGTGGGTGAGCGGCTCCGGCGAGGGCGCCCCTGGGGTCAGCGGGCACTGCGGTCCAGGAGGGACGGCCAGGCGCCTGAGAAGGGCTTGGGGGACCTAGAGCCCAATCCGCGCCTTTAACAGATGGGGAAACTGAGGTCCTGGAAAGTGAAGTGCACATTGAGTCTTTTTTTTATGGTTTTTAACTTTATTTGATATATGTAGATTTTTTTTTTTTTTTTTGAGACAGAGTCTCACTTTGTTGCCCAGGCTAGAGTGAGTGCCGTGGCGTCAGCCTAGCTCACAGCAACCTCAAACTCCTGGGCTCAAGCGATCCTGCTGCCTCAGCTTCCCAAGTAGCTGGGACTACAGGCATGCGCCATCATGCCCAGCTAATTTTTTCTATATATATTAGTTGGCCAATTAATTTCTTTCTATTTATAGTAGAGACGGGTCTCGCTGTTGCTGAACTCCTGAGCTCAAACTATCCGCCCACCTCGGCCTCCCAGAGAGCTAGGATTACAGGCGTGAGCCACCGCGCCTGGCCGACTGTCTGTAGATTTTTGAAAGTGGTAACAGGTACATAGGTAACCAAAGTATAGAGCTTGTTTGGTGAATCTTCATCCTCATTACGTTTCCTGGACAACCGCACAGGAATCCTGTATGGGACATTCCTTATTCCTTTGGCCCAGACAGCTTTGTTGAGCCTGGTATCGATGCGCACATCTGGAGTTCCCATCTCCTCATGGCAAATTTCCGGATCTCTTTGAGTGCCCGAGGGGCATGCTTCTTGAAGCCCACTCCATGGATGCGCTTGTGAATGTTGATGGTGTATTCTTGAGTCACCACTTCGATGATAGCAGAATGGCCCTTCTTCTCGCCTCCCTTCTTTGCGGGAGCCATTCTGCCCGGCCCAAGTCAGAAAGCCACGTTGAGTCTTTACATTGCAAAACCAGGCCTCTTTCTGAGCGCTTCAATCCTGTTAAAAACACAGGCTTTGGGCCAGACAGGTCTGAGTTTGAATTCCAGCTTGTCTTTTACTTGTGTGACCTCAGAGAAACCATCTGACTTGGGCCTCAGTTTATTATTTTTGAAATGAGATTAATAATAACTAGTCCTGGCTGGGCGCAGTGGCTCACACCTGTAATCCTAGTACTCTGGGAGGCCGAGGAGGGCGGATCATTTGAGCTCAGGAGTTCGAGACCAGCCTGAGCAACGCGAGACCCTGTCTCTACTATAAATAGAAAGAAATTAATTGGCCAACTAATATATATAGAAAAAATTAGCCAAGCATGGTGGAGCATGCCTGTAGTCCCAGGTACTCGGGAGGCTGAGGCAGGAGGATCGCTTGAGCCCAGGAGTTTGAGGTTGCTGTGAGCTAGGCTGACTCCCAGCACTCTAGCCCTGGCAACAGAGTGAGACTCTGTCTCTAAATAATAATAATAATAACTATGTCCTGGAATTGTTGAAAGGATTAAGTAAATTTTATGAAGTACTTAGAACCATGGCTGGATGTTAAATTATTCAGACTCTCCTGGAAATATCATGAGATTAAACAAGTTATAGGAACCCTGGCACAGAGTTTGAGCTAAATGAGTGATGGCTGCTGATACTGGCAGCCACTGGAAGATATTATAGAGCTTTCTGTATGCCAGCTGCCCTTCAGTTCAGGGAGGGGTGGAGAGGGCAGGGGCCCTCTACTCATTCTCCATCGTTGCTGCCCCTTTACCACAGATGAGTCCTGCCGGCGGTGACCTTCCAACTTTGGGACATACTTCTCTGCTTCCTAGAACTGAAGATCCTGGAACCCAGAAGATTCAGAGCAGATCCTTAAAATGAGCCTGGCAGGGAAGGGCAACCAATATCTTCCAACTTGCTTCCCCATCCTGTTTCTGGGGCAGAGCCAGTTGCTCAATTTCCACCCTAACCGAAGGTCCCTGGCATGGGTGGGGCTGTGCCCTAATTGATCTAAGAGTGACCGCCAAGTCCTGGGGAGGAGCACAGAACTCAGTGGCAGTGGGGACGGAACACCTCCCATCTCCATGGCAAGGTGCTCGCTCCCCGCAGCCTTCCTTGGCTCCCCGCCATCCTGTGGGGACTCTCAGGGTTTACGCGCTCATCTCCGTGGAAGGCTGGGACCCCACTCCATTTACAGGCCTCCCTCCTCTTCTCTAGGTCATTGCCCCTTTGTTTACAGCTCCTGCCTCCTCTCTTGGCCACAGCCTAGTTTACAAATCCACCAGCTCCCAGCCCCACCTGCCAAAGTCCCAAGTTTACAAGCCACACTTACTCGCTGTGTCTGCATGGAATCCTCTACCCTTTCTCCTCCAGACCTGGGGGTGTGGCTTCCTGCACTTTTGCTCAGTATTACTTTGTCTCAGTTTCCCCAAGAGGGAAGGCTGAGGATCTTAACTCTGTGACCCAGGATAGTTATTTAATTCTGGTCCTCCTAGTGGTTCACAATTAAATTAGGGTAGTATGGGGTGATTAAGAAGGCACCTCACTCTCCTCCCCCATTGTACCTTCTTTATCAATTGCCTGTTTTGTTGTTGTTGTTGTTGTTGTTTTTTAACTCTCCATAATAAAACGGAGCTCTCTCCAACTCTCCAGATACTTCTCCTTCTTTAGGGTAAAAAAGTGCATATGAGGGGTGGCTCTGGTGGCTGTGGGAGGGGAAATGATGGGGATGAACCAGGAACTCAGCACTGACATGCAGAAAGTTGGTATAGGAAGCTGTGCATGGGTTTCATGCAGGATGAGCAGGCACCATGAGGAAGGGCACTTGCATTCACTAGATGAAGTGCCATGAGGGCCAACTATGTGGTTTGGGTTCACTGACATATCCCCACATCTGGCACCTAGTAGACACACAGAATTATTTCTAGGATGAATGACTGAACAAATGAATGAATAGATGAAAAGAGGTGAAAAATTGGAAGCAGAAGACACCCTGAGTTGAAGGGTTCCAGTATTCAGAAGTCTGCTACAAGGTCATGCCTGTAATCCTAGCACTCTGGGAGGCCGAGGCGGGAGGATCACTCAAGGTCAGAAATTCAAAACCAGCCTGAACAAGAGCAAGACCCCATCTCTACTATAAATAGAAAGAAATTAGCCAGAAAACTAAAAATAGAAAAAATTAGCTGGGCATGGTGGCACATACCTGTAGTCCCAGCTGCTGGGGAGGCTGAGGCAGGAGGATTGCTTGAGCCCAGGAGTTTGAGGTTGCTGTGAGCTGGGCTGATGCCACGGCACTCACTCTAGCCTGGGCAATAGAGTGAGACTCTGTCTCAAAAAAAAAAAAAGAAAGAAAGAAATCTGCCGTAGGCTGGGTGCAATGCCTCACACCTATAATCCTAGCATTTTGGGAGGCTGAGGCTAGAGGATTGCTTGAGGCCAAGAGTTCAAGACCAGCCTGGGCAATGGTGAGACCTTGTCTCTACAAGAAAAAAAAAATTAGGGCCAGGCACGGTGGCTTACACCTGTAATTCTAGCACTCTGGGAGGCTGAGGCGGGCAGATTGCTCAAGGACAGGAGTTCAAAATCAGCCTGAGCAAGAGCGAGACCCCATCTCTACTATAAATAGAAAGAAATTAATTGGCCAACTAAACATATATATATATATATATATGAAAAATTAGCTGGGCATGGTGGTGCATGCCTGTAGTCCCAGCTACTTAGGAGGAGGCTGAGGCAGGAGGATTCCTTGAGCCCAGGAGTTTGAGGTTGCTGTGAGCTAGGCTGACGCCACGGCACTCTAGCCCAGGCAACAAAAGTGAGACCCTGTGTCAAAAAAAAAAAAAAAAAAAAAAATTAGCCAGGTATGGTGATGCACTAGTAGTCCCAGCCATGCAGGAGGTTGAAGTGGGAGGATTGATTGAGTTTGAGACTGCAGTGAGCTATGATGCTGCTGCTGCATTTTAGCCTGGGCAAGAGAGTGAGACTTTGTCTAAAAAAACAAACAAACAAACAAAAAAGTCTGCTGCAATGCAAGCAGCAGTCAGGTAGATAGTGCATGACGGACAACTCATATGGCTAATCCAGGGGCATTTACTCCAAGACTCAGGGGCCATGAGTAGTAAATCTGAAACTGCTGCAAAATTTAGTGAGTATGTACAAAAGTGCACTTTCTTGAAAAAGGTTCTTCTCTGATAGACAATTTGAAATCGAATCTGCATCTTCCCCACCTTAGATTATTTTTGGCTCTGTAGAACTTCCATATTTTACCTATTTATTATGTATCTTGGGGCCGGGCGTGGTGGCTCACACCTGTAAACCTAGCACTCTGGGAGGCTGAGGCCGGAGGATAACTTGAGGTCAAGAGTTCGAGACCAGCCTGAGCAAGAGCAGGACCCCGTCTCTACTAAAAAAATAAAATAAAATAAAAAAATAATTGGCCAACTAAAAATATATAGAAAAAATTAGTCAGGCATAGTGGCGCATGCCTGTAGTCCCAGCTACTCGGGAAGCTGAGGCAGAAAGATCACTTGAGGCCAGGAGTTTGAGGTTGCTGTGAGCGAGGCTGACGCCCTGGCACTCTAGCCCAGGCGACAGAGTGAGACTCTGCCTAAAAAAATAAATAAAATAAAACATTTATTATGTATCTTGTCTCCCGCCACTCCCAGATGTAAATTCGGTAACGGACTTTGTTTTGTCCGTTTGTTTGTTCTCTGTTGTATGCCCAGCGACTGAAACTAATGAATGAGCACACATTAGGGCGCTCATTTCTTCGTTGGATGAACAAGCGAGCGAAGCACTCACGGAAGTGACCATCAGGGGGCGCCAGAGAGACTGGGTAGGGGTAGAAATGAAGAAAAATGCATTACTCCGGCACGAGGTTTGAACTCGTTCGGCCACCGTAGTTTTGGGGCTGGAAAAGTGCAGGCGCTTCCGGGCTCCGTGGTACGAAAAACGGCTTTGGGCTGTTAGAGGCCAAACCCGCACATCCTAAGGCAGCTCCCTGAGGCAGCTCCCTCGCGGAGCTAAGGCTCCGGCCGAGGGCTGCAAGCCTCTGACCGACCCAGCCGCCAGCGCGGCTGCTGCGGACGCGGCAGGGCCGGAGCTGGGAGCGTGGGTCACCATGGCGACGCCGGCGGGCCTGGAGCGCTGGGTGCAGGACGAGCTGCACTCGGTGCTGGGGCTGAGCGAGCGGCACGTTGCTCAGTTCCTGATCGGTACAGCCCAGCGCTGCGCCTCTGCCGAGGAGTTCGTGCAGCGCCTACGAGACACCGACACCTTGGACCTCAGCGGGCCGGCCCGCGACTTCGCCCTGAGACTCTGGAACAAGGTGTCGCGAGGGTGGGACGGGGCTCGGCGTGAGAGGGTGTGACAAAGGGGAAGGGCTCTGTCATTTGTCCGGGCGAGACTAGCCTAACTGTTCATCAGGGAGTTAAGCGCAGTTCGGAAGCATTTATCTTTTGTCCGTTGTCGCCTAGGTACCGTGCTAGGTGCTGGACGTCCACCTCGGTGGAGGATATCCGCTGAGAATGGCTATAGAACAGTGTTTCTCGAACTTGAACATGCATGTGATTCATCCAGGGCCCTTGTTAAAGTGCGGATTCCGATTCGGTAGAGATCTTAGCTTCTGCATTTCTAACAAGTTTTCGAGTGATACTGACAGTCCATGGACCACACTTTGAATAGTGAAATATGTGGGAAATGCTGTGGTATGGCAGAAGAGGTAGGGGGGTAGTGATCAGGAGAAGAAAGCCCAAAGATTCTCTGTAATTTGCAATAGAGAAGGGCAGAGGAGGAAAGCTATAATAGGTGAGCTGCTGGAGGACAGGACTGTGCATCTCTTGCCTTATTTTTCTTCCTACCTAACAGTTGTCTTCCTCACAGAACAGGTGCTTAGTAAGTATACAGACGGAGTGAAAGTGTTCAGAGAATGGCAGAGAACCTAGTATGGCTATGCCACATGGTGCTTGGTGAGAGGTTAGAACGTAAATGCTGTGAGGGTAGGCACTTTATATTCTCATCACCAGTGTATCCCTGGAGTCTTGTGCAGTGCCAGGCGTGTGACATCCACAGTCAAATTGCAAAATAATCCTTGTAGTGTGTCAGTCCTTGTGTAGGCATAACTT